ACAGGGTGACTCTCACCCCCGCCTACATTCATCAACACTACCAAGCCGACCAATCACAGAGCTTGCGATATGCGTCGTTGCAATGTGTATTTACATTTTTGAGAGGTACGAGTCAGGATCCGAGCAGCTTGTTTACTTGCATGCTTGCAGAGAAAAGCACACCAGAACTAAAATACTGGGCCATTCTTTTTCACAATTACTTGGCTGGTAGATGCACCTGGGACATCATTAAAGTACTCAATCACGGAAAAGTCAGGTTTTTGTGATACGTCTCCTTTAAAGCCTTCATAAACATGTTCTGCTCTATTTCTCTGTCTTGTTTTAAACCTGTAAGTAGTGTATGTGAGCAGTCCCTGATGTTAGGGCTTTAAATGATGTAAACAGGCTGTCTGGCATTGTTGCGCAGGCTTTCCCATTAAACAAGTGTAACACAACACAGCGGCGCATGGAAAGCCTGAGTGTGCAGGATCTCAGACTGTTATATAAATCTATAGTCTGAACACACAGACACGCATCCACACTGTGCACTTTTCCATCCGCGGGCTTTTGTCTGTTTGTCTGTTTGTCCCTTTTGTTCTTGTCAGAGTTTGTCAGTATGTGGTTTGAGTCATTACAGACTGTCTGTCACACAAAGACAGGTGGACGGTCTAATGAGCACGAGCAAACGCCTGATCTTTACTGAGTCTCAATTATAATTATGTGCCTAATAACATTCATCAATATGAAGTGTTACGTAAGATTTAAAAATAGTAGTTCTTTTACATAGAGAGCGCCTATTGTTTGTTGTCATACAAAAGTTAAAATGAGGACTAGTAGCCAATGCTAGCTTTTACGATGTAATAATATTCACACATTTTTGTTATTATATATTTTTTTCTGTTTAGAATTGTTTATGTTTTATTTAGAATATATTTTAGACTGGATAAAAGATCAACTGACAATATTGATATTGTTGTTTATTTTTAGGCAAGCCATGGCAAGGCAAGTTTATTTCTATATCACATTTCACACACAATGGTTATTCTAAGTACTTTACATAACAAGAATAAGAGAAACAACTATAAGAAACAAAAACTACAAAGAATAAAGATTATTAAAAACAGCAACAAAGAATATTAAAAACAGATTCAAGTGTGTTAAAACAAGTTTTAAATAATGTAACAACATTAAAGGTTATAATAATATTCACTCACCGGTCAATTTATTAGGTACACCAATCCAACTGCTTGTTACTGCAAATTTCTAACCAGCCAATCACATGGCAGCAACTCAATGCATTTAGGCATGTAGACATGGTCAAGATGATCTGCTGCAGTTTAAACTGAACATCAGAATGGGGAAGAAAGGTGATTTAAGTGACTTTGAACATGGCATGGCTGTTGGTACCAGACAGGCTGGTCTAAGTATTTCAGAAACTGCTGATCTACTAGGAATTTCATGCACAATCATGGGAATATTTCCAATACCTTGTTGAATCTATGCCACTAGGATTAAGGCAGTTCTGGAGGCAAAAGGCAAAAAGTACTAGTAAGGTGTACCTAATAAAGTGGCACGTGAATTAATATTTTTGTAACTTTATTTTTTTATTTTATTTATTTTTTTTTATATTTTTATATTATAAATTTTTTTTAAGGTTGGTAGGTAGGTTTTGAATATACCTTGCAGCAACATAAATCATTTCACTGCAGTTTTAACATTGTTACCTTTCTGAATTCGTAATTATACACCAACAAAGATCTTTAGCTTGCTATAAAATCCTTCAATATTATTTTGTATTGTAAAATAACAATAATTTTGCGCAAATGTAAATAATCACCTTATCGCACTGGAAAAGCCATCTGTTTCATAGAGTCAGCTTTTGATTCTTCAGTTTTCCAGCAGAGTTATGCTGTTGGCAGAAAAATGCAAACTTCATGACAAGCTGAGCTGAAATGCACACAGAGTTTATTCTGAGCCCAAGGATGAAGGTGGAGAGAGGATTTCAAGAGCTTTCTGTCTTAAGATCTTCACTGATCATCTGATACACGTTTCACACAAAAACGCAAGAGCTGCCACAACGGACAGTTGCCTTCTTATTGGCTGATATAAGCTGTTTCTTTAGTAAAAAAAAAGATGCTTTTTAACTTAATAGATAGATTTTATTCATTTAGCATTTTTTAAATAGATAATTCACACAAAAATTACAATTTGCTCATAATTTACTCATCCTCAAAACTCTTAAAGCTCTTTTTTTTTTTTTTTTTTTCTGTTTAACAATAAATAAGATGCAGGAAAAAGAGAAAATACTATACATGTCAATGGTTACTGGTTTTCAACATTTTTCAAAATAGCTTTTGTGTCCAAAAAAATATTCAAACAGCTTTGGAACAAGTGTGCGAGAGTAAATGCTATTCAGTAAATATTCAATTTTGGGTGAACTGTCCATTTAAGTAAGTTGATACTATTTTTAAAAAAGGACCAATAAATGGAGATGGAGTGAGAGCCTGTTGTTGTATTATTCAAAAAAGCAGACAGAAGCACTTAGAGGGCTTTTAGGCCAGTATTCCAGTAAACACAGCTGGGATTGCAGATCATTTTTCAAATGCGTTCCACTGCCTCTGACTCATTATATGATGATATATGCTGCTCTGTATCAGTCAGAGCAGTCAATGGCTGGATAATAAACATACACAGCATGTGCAGATAAACAATTCATAAACACCGACCACAGTGTGTCACAGAATCTCGGCCATTTTCTTTAAAGAAGGGATCATATTTTTGGACCAAATGGCATTTTTTTTAAATAGACAATGTTAAAATGTTGTTTACAAATTTAAGTAAGGATGATTTGACAATGTTCATTTAGTAAAAAAAAGTCAATATTGGTGTAACCATGGGAAGTGACACAAACAATGAGGTAGGATCCAAATGCAGGTTTAATCAGTGGTCAGGCAAGCAATGGGCAATACAGGTGCAAACAGGTATATGGAGACAGTCCAGAATCATAGTCGAATAACAGGCAAGAGGTCAGAAGGCAGGCGGCAAACAAGGACATGGGGGGGGGGGGTGGGGGGGGGGTTGGGGGGGTGTTGGGGTCAGTTCTTTAATCCAAAGAAATATTTCACTCTGATTTGTATTTTAAATAATAATGTGTATTTGATAATATAAATATACTGTACATTTGACTATCCCTATAAGGGTTAAAATCCATTGTTATAGCATCAGTCTATTTAAGAAAAGTCTGAAAGTGGCAGATCAAGAGCTCCTATAGACATCGTGACGTGTACACAAGACTCTCGTAAATTGGGTGCTTGTATCTATATTAAGCCTAAAAATAAAATATAACTAGACTCATATTATGTATTTTAACTACAGTAACATCTGTAATAGTTACATAATAATAAAATGTAATAAAATGACTTTGACATTCCACTTTGTTTTTGTAAAAACAGAAAATGAAGAAAAGTTGTTTTAAAAACTAAAATATATCATTTTAAAACCACATATTGTGTTCGTTCATTTAGTTAAAAATATATGCAATATGGGGTACTTCACCACAAAATTAAATATTGTAATTTACTCTCTGATTTGCCAAATAACTTAAGTAAAATAGCTTTTATTGGCCCAATAATAAGGATGAAAATGAAAATTATAATTTACTTTCTACCAAGGCGACAAGGTGGTGCAGTGGATAGTACGTTCACCTTACTGTAAGAAGGTCTCTGGTGCAAGCCTTGGCTTGGTCAGTTGGCATTTCTGTGTGGAGTTTGCATGTTCTCCTTGAGTTGGCGTGGGTTTCCTTCCGGTGCTCCGGTTTCCCCCACAAGGACATGCACTATATTGTCCATAATGTATGTGTGTGAATAAGAGTGTATGAGTGTTTCCTAGTGATACGTAGGCCAACACGGAATCTGTGCGCGCAGAATTCCGCAGATTTTCTGCAGAATTCAGAAGTTTATTCGTCTGGCCCTAGTGATAGGTTGCAGCTGGAAAGGTTGCAGCTGGAAACACATCCTCTGTTTAAAACATATGCTGGATAAGTTGGTGTTTCATTGCGCTGTGGCGACCCCAAATTAATAAAGGGACTAAGCCAAAAAGAAAATGAATGAATGAATTACACAAAGAGTTGTTTGTTCATTTAGTTAAAAATATAGTCAGTATGGGGTAGTTCACCTCAAAATAAAAATAGAAACTGAAAAAAAAATTGAAATATATCATTATAAAAAGAGTTGTGTTTGTTCATTTGGTTAAAAATATATTTAATATGGGGTAGTTCCCCTAACCTGATTTCACCAGGTAGGACATGTTCCTGGATCAACATCTGTGTTGATCCCGCAACAACATTGCAATCAGTCAACTAGACTTAAGGGATACGTCTAAAGTTTATGTTGTTTAGGCTTACGGTTAGGTTTGTGCAGGTTTGTGTGTGTTCTACATGTGTGTTATGCAATCATTTTTCCCCTCTGATTTTGGGAATAATTTACAGTTATGGTTGGGTTTAGGGGTAGGGAATAGGTATGGATTACATTTTCTACAATAATGATGTTCCAGGTTTAACATAGATGTTAATACAGGATTGCATCCTACTTGGCAAAATCTTGACGTGTGGGTAGTTCAGCTCAAAATTAAATATCATAATTTACCCTCTGATATACCAAATAACTTCAAGTAAAAATAGTTTTTATTTGGATAATAATAAGGACGAAATTGTTGTTTGTAAAGTTCATTCATGAGAATATTTATATTGTTATTTTCATAGCATTTCCTACATAACATCCCATTTTCAAAGATGGAAACAGCAGCAGTAAGAATAATTGGAATTTTAACAACTGCAATTTGTATTTACTTGTATTGTGCTTCATTTCCATTCTCCATATCCGTCCATTCTGCTTTTCTTTGCTTTTTATTCTTCTCCAGCATGCTGCAACTCTATTCTTCAGCTCTTGTCCTTGTGCCTCTTTCATGTCTGCAAACTTGTGCTCTTTTTTTTCTCTCTCTCTCTGTCTTTCCTTCTTTTCCAGCAAGACTATTCAGATCAATATAATCGATGACGAGGAGTATGAAAAGAATAAGAACTTCTTCCTGGAGATTGGAGAGCCACAATTGGTGGAAATGAGTGAAAGAAAAGGTGGGACGTCTTCTTCCTCTGGTCCCACTTCACTGAAGCAGCCCCGGTGTGCTGCCGTCTTCTGGGCTGAGCTGCAAGTGTTCTTATGTAAACCCAAAAATGACAAAGAAGTCATTGTTTATTTGACCATGAGTCCATCTGCAACCTCTCTAAACCATCAAATAGTGTTCTGTCATTTTCTAAGGCCAAACATATTCTCGAATTGAAAAGAGGAGGTCATGTAAGCATTATCATGTTGCATTCTGGAGCACAACTGATTAATAATTCACAATTAAAGGGATAGTTCACCCCAAAATAAAAAGAAAAGGACTCACTGTTCATTTGGCATGTGCAATTAATAGAAATTTTATTTAAATTTTGGCCTCCAATGATTATGATAAACTTCAAATGGGATGAAACTGTCATTGTGTCATGTCCTGCCCCCCTCTCAGGCAGTACAGCTTGCTCGATTTGTTGGTGTATTCAATTTATTCACATTTTTTAAAGCGTGAAAGTGGGCTGTTATGTGCATGTGTTTAGAACACACATGTAAACTGCTTAAGCTGTAGCTAAATAGTCAAATACATGCAAATATGTGTCGAAACGCAGAGCATAGTAATTATTCACATAAACTCTTAATGTAATAAATCACAAAGACTTGTAAAAGTGAAACTATATGCCTCTTAAAGTGACAGTGCGCTATGTTCCTGATAAGGACTGTTTATCATTATTAATCAAATAACAAAAGAATAGAAAAAAATCACTCACTGCTCTTGTCTGAAGGGATTTTTTTATAGCTTTAAGACAAAACAATTAAGTTAACTTTTTAGCGTGCGTATCTATCGAAGTGTTTTTTCTACTTCAGAAATATGAAAACTGTTCTAAAAAATGCTCAACTGGGAGCAATTTAAAAACGTGGTGCTTCCATTCAAAACAACAGAAAAAAATGCAACGCAAAAACACTTTGGTGATCACGTATTCAAGCGAGAGTGATTTACATGTTAAGTCAATGCAAAAACACGAATAGACATTCTGCAGTGTGATTCGTGCGAATGTGGCGATTTATGGAGAGGGTTGTAGATGCAGACGGGGTGCAGTGCAATATGAACTGCATCCAATGCTTTTTAATGCTCTCACCTAACTCCACCCCCTAACCCTAACCCTCACAGTGACGTCACTAACCCTATTGAGTGCAGTGTGTCTGACATTGCATTGCTGAGTGATGTGATCTCAGCTTGCATCATAAAGACTGCATCCAGATTCCATTAGATTTATGCGGATTTATATCGGCGCAAATTAAAAGAGCTCTTTGCGCTTTTGATGCGCTTAAAGTGTGAACCACGCAATTTGCTTAAGTTGGAAAATCTGAACTTTATCGAACATTCACACCGCGTCAACCAATCAGGAGCTTGCTCATGCAAGGGTATTATTATGACATAGCTTCTGTTGTGGTTGTCCCGAGGGGAAACCCTCTTGCCCACACTAGACAAGAGTTCATCAAACTAGGCTGGACTCAGTCTGAAGCACCGCTGAAAGCTTCCATCATCCAGGTATAGTTATGTGCAACTCTGAAAGGATCTCGTGAACATAGCACCGAACAAATTTATGCTGTTTTTCAGCCTTTCTAAAGCACATAATGGACAGCTACTATCTCAATAAAATCCATGTTAGGCATTTAGCAATGAAACTAGTCAGCGATCAGACATGCTTTTAACCCATAAAATTGATTTTTCCTTTGATGCCGCATCTGATATGAACACAGCATTACAATAAAGATACTTAAAGCATAGTTTGTTACATGATATTTTTATTATATTTTTTATTATTTTCCGTAATTTTGAGGAATTTTGTTTTTAACGTTGTCTTATTCAATACTTTGGTATTGAAAATTGTGAAATTACATTATCTATTCATTGTATAGATGTAAAAGCAAACCTATTTGCTCATGACACTGATACTCATTTTAAACTATCGTGATTACAATTTTTACCAGAATAATCATGATTATGTTTGTTCCTGTAATCGAGCAACTCATTTATTCACTCACCAAACTTGTGTGAGGTTTTTGTTTCTTCTTCTGTTGAACACAAAAGAAAATATTTTGAAGAATGTTGATGAGCGCTATTGACTTCCATAGTAGGGAGAAGGAATTATAGTTTGGTTGCATTTACATTTACATTTATTCATTTAGTAAACTGAAGTAAACAAGTTTTGTGATGAGTGCTCATTATTTAAAGTGAATTTTCTTATTTGGGTGAACTATCCCATTAATACCAGGCACTTTTTATTGTTAATTCCAGTGAGCAACACACTTTCTTAAAAACCTTATTCCTACTATTATCATCCTGACGTGAACATGCCTTTATTCAGGAACTTAATTGGCTCGATTTGCTGTTTTAAAAGCATCTGATGTTCCTCAAAATGAACGCCCAAACACACTTCACCGCTCAAATGTGATTTTATTATGTTCCCCTCACAGGAAGACCATAAAGGTTAAAATTCTTGACCATGAGGAGTATGACAAGCATGCAAACTTCTTCATAGAGCTGCAGGAGCCAGAATGGAGGAGGAGGGGATGGACAGGTGAAAGATAGCAAAGAAACGAGTCAAACAAATCTTTTCTTTCTCTTCTGGCTACTGTCTTTACCTTCCTTCGCTCCTCCTTCAAAACTGATCCTCCACTTCGGTTCTGCTGTTGCAATAATGTCGTTTGCCTCCCGCTTGCTGCTCAGTTTCTGTGGAGTTCTCCCTCATGTTCCCTCCTGGCCGAAAGGTTAAGAGTTCTCTCAGTAAATGGGCGTAATTGGCTCCGACTGAAGCCGTAGGGTCTGTTTCTTCAGGCCAGGATGAGACAAGGGCAATTGAAAGCATAATGAGCGGCAGATACATGGGCTGTCTTGCCAAATTCCAGAGCCTGTGATGCTTCATGCTCTCTGTACTAATAGAAGGAGATTAGATTTGATTTTCTCTTGGCCTCACTTTTTAAATTAGATTTCATGGTGATATCACTGTCAGTTACATGCAAAAATAAAATGATTAACTGTGTAAATTAATTTAGAACAAAATTAAGATATTGTTTAATATTTAAGTTATTATTTTTATAGTTTTGTCTCAATCTTTTTTTATTCCAATAAAACACATATTATTATGATTATTATTAATCAGTTAATGTGTTAAATTGAATGCTTTAAGAAAAATAATGCCAAATGTATTGCCTTCATTTTTTGTTTAATACTTAAAGCATCTGAATCAGCATTGAATGTAATTTATGAAGGACTATGGGAGACTGAAATTATAATAATGACTGCTAGAAATCTTAAATTATAACTAATAATAATAATAATATTAATGAATTTCACGTTTGTATATAATCTAAATATTATTTGTTTTATTGTGCATGTCGGATTTAAGATGAAGGAGGAGTTCCTGCAAGAAAGCTTTTTGCCATTCCAGATGACTTTATTAATAAGTTATTTGAGTCGTTGCAGAGATGTATGGATGCAGTCCTCCAAGCTCATGGGAGTTATACACAATATTAATTATTTTCCCACTGCAGCATGACTTTATATTCTATACTGTACATTATTTCTGTTAAGTGACAAGACTTTTGTTCAAGCAAAGTCAGACCTTGCTGTCCTAATTAAATAATTCCAAATCAAGACATGATCATATTTTATTTTGGTAAAATAAGCGTAATCTAGAGGATTTTGCCTTTCATATAAGCCACTTTTAATACCAAATGATCAACTAGAAGTCAAGTTATTATTGGTTGCTCCTAAAACTTGCTTAGGCGAAAAGACTTTTATTAGGTGGTGTATTTATTAAATTAAATTAAATTAAATTAAATTAAATTAAATTAAATTAAATTAAATTAAATTAAATTAAATTAAATTATTATTATTGCAATAAATTGAATGTCCTTCTATGTATAATACCATTCAAATTTAAATTAAGCATCTGAATCTGCATTTTGAGTAATTTATGAAAGATTATATGTGGCATACACTAAAGCGATGGCTAAATATAAAATTATCACTAATAATATTAATAATAATAGGATAATACTTGCATATGTGTGTTTAGACAGAATGAGTATGTTACTCTGTTGGTTCATTCATAATCATTTTGCTCTTTCTTTATCTCCATTTTCTTCTGTTCTTCTGTGTTTTATGTCCTGTCTGTCCTTCATTGTCTACGTCAGCTATGTTGCTGCATGAATGTGGTAAGCTGTCTCTTTTTTCCCTGCTATTAATTTCTGTAAACCACTTTATAAATGTTTATTTCATCATGTCATCATCAAATGTTTATTTCTTACTGTGCATAAGCTCTTTGTGCATATCTCATATTCATAAGCTTGCTTAATTTTTTCTGCAAAAAACTGCTTTTTTAATCTTTTTCACTAAAGTTTGGCTGGATAATGCTGGTTTTATCATATGTTGTCATATTTTGTGGCATATTTTGCTTAGTTTACTAATTTTTTTCTGTCTTTAACAAATATTTACACTTTAATATTAGCAAGATATCTACAAAGTTTCTTCTCCTTACAAAAACAAGAGCTTTAAAACATGAATTGAATAAGGAGTGAGGTCATTTCTGCTGTTTTTATGATTTTAGGTGGATTCGTGAAGACAGGTATGGTAATACATATCTTTGGAAATGCTTAGCTAACTCAATACCAGCTACTGAAGCTAACTTGCTTCACTAACCAGGCGAATGAGTAGACTTCATCTTTTCTATGAAATCTTTTCTTTGATAGATAAGCAACTTTATGGTAAGAGATTACATTTTACTTTTCACCAAGCTGGACGCCAAAGCTAACATTGGATGTGTTTGTAACTGTTCACTTGACAATGAGCCTTTGTTTGGCACTCTGATTAATGTGCGGCTTATTTGCTCATATATAGCAACTGGGACAGATACTGTACAGATAGAAATTTATAATTTGCTTTGCTTTCTGTCTTATTGCGTAGACTTTGCAGCAAAATTACCTAAACAAATATTTAAATATATATATTTTAATTTAATATCAGTAACAATGTGAAAAAAAAAAAGATTTTTTGGAATTGTTGCAAATGTATTAAAAATAAAAAAAAGCTGAAAATCACATGTACATATTCACAGCCTTAGAGCTCTAAATTGACCTCAGGTACATTCTGTTTCCACTAATCATTCTTGAGATGTTTTAGCAGCTTAATTGGAGTTCACCTGTGGTAAATTCAGTTGATTGAACATGATTTGAAAAGGCAAGTATGAAGAGAAAGAATTGTCAGAGAAAGGATTGTCTCAAGGCACAAGGCTGGGGAAAGTTACAAAAAAAATTCTGCTGCCTTGAAAGTTCTAATGAGCACAGTGGCCTCCATCATACATAAGTGGAAGATTTTAAAAGCCACCAGGACTCTTCCTAGAGCTGGCCAGCTATCTAAGCTGAGAGATCGGGGGAGAAGAGCCTTAGTCAGGAAGGTGATCAATAACCTGATGGTTACTATGTCTGAGCTCCAGCATTCTTCAGTGGAGAGAGAAGCAATCCACCAATCAGGTCTGTATGGTAGAGTGGCCAGACGGAAGCCACTCCCTGCCTGGAATTTGCCAAAAGGCATCTGAAGGACTCTCAGACCATAAGAAACAAAATTCTCTGGTCTGATGAGACTAAAATTGAACTCTTTGGAGTGAATGACAGGCGTTACATTTGGAGAAAACCAGGCACCGCTCATCACCAGGCTAATACCATACACAGTGAAGCATGGTGGTGGCAGCATCATGCTGTGAGGATGTTTTCAGGAGCAGGAACTGGAAGACTTGTCAGGATGGAGGGAAAGATGAATGTAGCAATGTACAGAGACATCCTGAATGAAAACCTGCTTCAGAGTGCTCTTGACCTCAGGCTGGGGCGACGGTTCATCTTCCAGCAGGACAATGACCCAAAGCACACCTCCAACATATCAATGGAGTGGCTTCACATGTCCTTGAATGGCCCAGCCCGAGCCCAGATCTAAATCCAATTGAACATCTCTGGAGAGATCTGAAAATGGCTGAACACTGTCGCTTCCCATCCAACCTGTTAGAGCTTGAGAGGTACTGCAAAGAGGAATGGGCAAAAATTCCCAAAGACAGGTGTGCCAAGCTTGTGGCATCATATTTAAAAAGACTTGAGGCTGTAATTTATTGCAAAGGTGCATCAACAAAGTATTGAGCAAAAGGCAATTTCTGTTTTTTCAAGATTTTTTACAACACATTTCTAATCATAATAGTTTTAATAACTAATTTATAATAACTGATTTATTTTATCTTTGCCATGTTGACAGTAAATAACATTTTACCAGATATTTTAAGGACACTTCTATACAGCTTAAAGTGACACTTAAAGGCTTAACTAGGTTAATTAGGTTACCTAGGCAGGTTAGGGTAATTAGGCAAGTTATAGTATAACGATGGTTTGTTATGTAGACTATCAAAATAAAAAAGCTTAATGGGGCTAATAATTTTGACCTTAAAATGGTTTTTAAAAAATTAAAAACTGCTTTTATTCTAGCCAAAATAAAACAAATAAGACTTTCTCCAAAAGAAAAAAAAACATTATCAAACATACTGTGGAAATATCCTTGCTCTGTTAAACATCATTTGGGAAATTGTTAAAAAAGAAAAAAAAAATCAAAGGGGGGCTAATAATTCTGACTTTAACTGTGATGTTTCAGATTTTTTTTTATTTTTTTTTAATAAATTTTCAACAGTTTCAAAAAATCTTTTTTCACATTGCCATTATGGGTTATTGTGTGTTAAATTATGAGGAAATAAGGAATAAGGCTGTAACATAAAAATGTGGAAAAAGTGTATATACTTTCTGGATGCACTGTATTTAAAAAGAGAGAGAGAGATTTTGTATTTGCATAATAAATAATTATTCTGCATTATAAATAAAAGTTACTTAAGTGCATAATATTTCAATAAAAACAAAAATTGAGTTTTGCGTTCATGCATTCATTTATAATTGATTATAAATGAATGCTTAAATAAATTCATTCATTTATATTATATAATTAATAAGTTATCATTAATTATTTAATTTGAATTATTCATAATTTACTTTTATATCCATTACATCAGCCTCAAATTATAACTGTTCAAACACAGCCTATATCTCTACTAAAAACACTAACACTGTTCATTTCTGAAGCTAATTTAGCTATTTAATCAAAACAATATGACAATCTAATTTTCAACTTGTACATGGCACTAGTTTACATAGCTGTGATTAATTGCTATCGCCGTGCCACGAACCTACTGTATTACTTTACTTTCTTATGCAATGCCACATTTGTTGCACGCCACAAAGACACTGTGTGAAGGGCGAGAGCACAACCCACTGTCATCCATTCAGTAACCCTCACTGGCATTGTTCCTAAAGGCAAACGGGCTGCTCCCTAATGAGAAAGCATATAGCTAGTGTGCCTTCAGCTGACGTGCAGAGCTTTCATAACCGCCGTCTTGTCAAACTCGCTCAACTGTGATCACACGCAAACACTATTTACAGTACATGTCCGAGGAGTGTCTGTGGGTTGAAAATTTCAGCACAGAGAGAACAGCCAATCCTTAAATTAGCACATCATTCAGAAGTGTTGAAATTGGCTATTCAGGCGAGGGTGTGGAGATTTGTTTGTGTATTAATATGATAGTGATACGGAGGTGTCAACAGCGCCAAAACCACTTTAGATAGCAGCTGTTATATTAAACGATTAGTTGTCTTAATAATTATTGGCTTTGTTTACATGTTTCAAATTTATGAACATTTAATGTTGTTAAATTTATTAGATATTTTTACAGTATATATATATATATATATATATATATATATATATATATATTTTTTTTTTTTTTTTTTTTTAAAGCGTTTATTGTTGTCATGTAAATAATCTCATCTATAATCTGAAAAAAGTTTTGTTCTCTAAAATACTGATAACATTCCTTTCAAGTTTAAAATCAAAAGTTTTCATTTACACTTTTTTGCATTAGATAACAAAAACAACCTCATTACGGATACGTAGCCGGGTCTTAATTTCTGTGGACAGCGAAATTTTAACTGTTTTCTGAAACCATTCTTCACCGCACTTGAACCCGTCATCGCTGCCAATTCGGCTCCATGACTGAAGTCCAATAGCATATGTGGCAAGCTATTGGACAAACTTGTAACACTGGGAAAAAAAACAGTGTTTTGACTCTCCCAAACAACCATCCCCTTCCCAAAACCCGACCGATAATGTTTTTTAAAAGCAATCTAGAAAAAGAAAAGCAGTCGCAGCCACGAGCTACTGGGCAATCCAGTAACACCAGAAAAGTCATCCGTACTGAGGTAATCGGTCAGCTGGTAGTGCTAAAAGGAACAGAAGCCATTGGTGGTGTCATACCGCCCTGTAACGTTAGTGTTAAAGATGAAATGGAGCCAGTCATAACTCTGGGTTCATAATTCGCACTCTCCAGAAATGTAGACAGGTGCACGTATCCACAATGAGCCTGTGTTGCAACTAAAAGATATCATGTTTTCTGACATGTTCATATAAATTTTAGATCTCATGAAATTAATATTTTGTGGAATTAGCCTGATTTTAATTCAAAACAAAACATTTATTATGACCAAATGTTCTGAAAATGCTCTTTATTAATTTTTTTTTACTTAAAATTTTGCACATATATTATCAGAGCTTTATTTTAAAGAATAAGTAGTAAAATGCAAATACAGATTTTTTTAAAGGTATTTTGTGTTTGTGTGTGTGTGTGTGTGGACTTGTTTATGTGGTTTGCAAGGACATTGTATGATCTAAAAGGACATGGGTATGACCTAAGTGTTACTTTAAGATTGTTTGCTTCTTTAAGGCATGTCCTCGAAATTCGAAACGCTTAAAAATCATACTTAATGGAGTATTTTGACATTTTAAATTTTCCACAGGTTTCCTGTGAGGGTTGGGTTTAAGTGTAGGAGTAGGATAAGGCCATATGAAAAGCATTTTGTATAGTATGAAGTACATTAGGCTTATTGAGTCCTCATGACCCACAGATGCAGTGTGTGTGTGTGTGTGTGTTTGTGTGTGTAGTCCCAAAAATATATATTGATGAAAAATCAGACATTCCATTTGCATAAATTAACTAAATGACTTGTATTAGAAAACATATTGTAAATTCTTTAATTCAATGTTTTAAATACCTTTTGAGAAAATAAAATGTGTAGGAAACAATTTTCCATTTAGAGTGTTAGATTGTAAAAATAACACGTATTCTAACTTGTACTTATTAAAATTTAAAGAACAAAAATAAGTGGTCATATGACAATTTTATAAATTTTATACAAATATTATGTATATATATATATATATATATATATATATATATATATATATATATATATATATATATATATGTTAAATTATAAAAAAATGCTTACAAATATATCAGATACAACAAATACTTGCTCTGTTCTCTGAAGTGATCACTGAAATTTTCACCATCTGCTTTACAAAGCTTTATTTAACAGTGCATCATCATAAATAAAGCTCTATATGTCTGTTAGCATCTGTGCTAACGCTGTTCAGTGAATGTGTTTATCAGGCAGGGATGTGTACCGGAAAGTGCAGGGTAGAGACAAACCAATCCCCTCCACCATTATCAGCATCTCAGGTATACATTTCCTCTCCTCTTCCACTCACTTTCTCTTTCTTTTCTTTTCTTTTCTTTTCTTTTCATTCATTTAATAATTTATTCATTCTTCCTTGTTCAGTGTGTTCTTAACATCCTGTTTCATAAAGCGTTTGTGAGGATGGCTGTCAATACCTCATTAGTTTACCATTAATACATTATTTATGGAATGAGATGTTAATGATTGCAATAAATCACATCAGTGTTTTTAATCAGTTTTATTCACTTATTGGTCTTTTGTGTAATTGTTTATCTTATCCTCATTTCACTCCAAACACATATTGACTAGACTTGAAATCACATATTCAGATTTTTTTAAATTCTGTCTCTCAATTAAAAACTAAAATTTTGCAGATTAAAAAAAAGGACATGATCCCATTATGAAGCTAATTCACATGAACCAAGCAGTTCAATTCAAGAAATATGACATTATATTTAGGGAAAAGGTGATTTTATTAACCTGAGCTAATGAGCATTTTTTGTAAACAATCCCATTAAAAGCAACAGTTCACCCAAAGGTCAAAGTCCATGTGAGCCGAAAGCTGCTAAAGCTTTTATTTCACTATGTTGATGTACTTCCAGCTGAAGCTGAATATTGAGTAGTGAGCAAGGCTTTATTTTTGGACATCATTCCCTCATAGCACACCAACGGTATAGTGGCGTGGTTAAGAAAATTGAGGCTAAATCCGTCAAACTGACGTCAGCAGAGAAGGACCGCCTCTCTAAATGTGGAAGAAAATGGTCAGTCTTTGATTGAAGATTACTAAAAAAAAAAATAGTTTTGTACAATTAGATTTTTTACACAGACTTTTAATTATACCTATTACAGGCCTGTAGCCAGACTATTGAAAGGGGTAGTCTTTTATCCCAAAAATCATCTCACTTTCTACTAAGTTATTACCATGAAGTATTTACTTACAAATGTGCATTTAAACTAAAGTTGGGTCGATAGACGATGCCATCGACAGACATCACGATGCTGAGCCAGCATTGCGATTGCAGCAGCAACCCGCTCGCGGAAAAATACACACTCAGGCGCCGTTTACACTAATACGTCTTAGTTTTAAAATGGTGCCGTGTCACAGCGTCAGAATACTGCTTCAATCTTTTGCTTTCACGCTTGTACTTAGTAATTTTAGCGAAACCTCAGATACTGTTTGTTGGTTTCTGTTGGCTGTACACCATTCCCGCGGAAAAAGTAATTGACAGGTGGTAATTTGAGTGTAACTTACCTTTGTTTATTTATGATTTGATTATGGGTAAAACAAAGACTATGAGGGTCAGGTAGTTGAAACGGTAGGCTACAAATATTTAATTCATAATAAATAAATAATTAATAAATAATTAATTCACCGCCAGGCGACGCAGTGGCACAGTAGATAGTGCTGTCGCCTCACTGCAACAAGGTTGCTGGCTCGAGCCTCGGCTGGGTCAGTTGGTGTTTCTGTGTGGAGTTTGCTTGTTCTTTTTGCGTTCGTGTGGGTTACCTTTGGGTGCTCCGGTTTCCCCCACAGTCCAAAGACATGCGGTACAGGTGAATTGGGTAGGCTAAATTGTCAGAGTGTGAATGAGTGTGTGTGGATGTTTCCCAGAGATGGGTTGAGGCTGAAAGGGCATCCGCCGAGTCTTAAAAACGTGCTGGATAAGTTGGCTGTCCATTCCGCTGTGGCAGCCCCGGATTGGTAAAGGGACTAAGCCAAAAAAGAAAATGAATGAACAAACGCCGCCTACAATGATGATACCATCATCCATCACGATGTTTCACATTAGACATCGTACGATGCCAAATTGGTTGACATTGCCCAACCCTAATTTAAACTGTAGGTATTGCAGTTTTATAAATAATGTTATGATATTAGAATTGTATTAGTTTAAAAAACTGATTAAAGAAATATACCTATAGAGACAAATTCTGCACTTTGTCAGTGAAGGGTGGATCTTTCGAACCCCGCGGGCCTGTACATGTTAAAAAAAAAAATTTTCAATAAGACTTTAATTGATAGGTTAAAATCAATAGCATCTGACCAATCAGTGACAGAAAAAAAGCTAAATAAGACAGCTTTCAAATAACATAACGAGGCACTTTAAAGTGTCATACTATTACATTTATGACCCTGTTTTTCATTCCAAACAAACTTTGAACATTTCTGCCTTTTATCTTTCACAGAATAAGTGGGTTGGAACAACTAGGGAGTGACAACATTTCTGAGTGAACCGTTCCTTTAAATGCTTATTATTAGCTATTCGTTTTTTTTGTTTTAGATCAATAATGTTGACATACTTTTAAAGCACCCACGCCTTCGAAGGTGCTCAAGTCCAGATTGACAGCATTGCATTCCCATGCTTCTGAACAAACACACAGCAGCATAGTTCACATTGCAGTCATTATTGCCCTATTTAAACACAACAAATGATGTCATATAAACAGCGTGTGAAATAAGTATTTAACACGTCACCATTTTTCCAAGAAAATATATTTCTAAAGATGCTGTTCTCTTGAAATTTTACCAAGATGTCAGTAACATCCAAAATAATCCATACATTTAAAATAAACAAAACTAATTCATTTAGTAATGAAGTTATGTGTAATAAAATTAAATGACATTGGGGAAAAGTATTGAACACATGAAGAAAGCGAGATGTAGAAAGACATGGAAAGCTCAGACAGCATCTGAAATCTCTCAGTAGTTATTCAGCAACTGCTCCTCGTCAGTGTAAATGAATATTAACTGCTTCAGTTCCAACAACTACATTACCAGATGATGAAGATGAAACCAGGGTGAACATTTCAGAAAGACAATGATCCAAAACACAGAGAAGGAAACTCTGAGCTGTTTTCAGAAAAGAAAATAAAGCTGCTATAATGACCCAGCCAATCACTTGACCTAAACCCACCTGAATATACATACAAAAAATCAGACTTCATAAATGAAACCGACAGAACCATGAAGATGTTTAGACTCTGTTGAATTATATCTACTAGGAAAAATCATGACACGTTCAATACTTATTTTACCCTCTGTATCTGCATCTTGTTGTTTTGTACATCTCTTTTTATTTTTTTATGTATTTCTTTTTTTTCTCTCTCTCAGAGGACGGGGAGGAAGAGACCCTGACTAAAAAAGAGAAAGATGAGAGGCGTATTGCTGAAATGGGTCGTCCGACCCTGGGTGAACACGTGAAACTTGAAGTAATCATTGAAGAGTCTTATGAATTCAAGGTAAATTCATGAAAGTACACCATGAAAAATGCATACAGACACTAAATTTTTTTATTATATATGGTAATTATATATAGTACAATTACATTACATAGGTACATATATATATATATGGTACATGATGTTCCTGATCTTTACCATTTTCATGAGGATTTCATGCACATTCGAAGTCCCCGATCTATGAAAACTCGTTTTCACTGCAAAATTTTAAAAAAGGAAAGCAAAGAAATTTAGTTTATATTTCAAGTTTGCTGCTTGCAATTCATACATTTCTGATCAGAATTTTCAGTAGCAAATTAGTATTGTTCGTACTGTACTTGTAAATATGTTCTAAGAAAAAAAAAAGTGAATTTGAAATTGTTTCATGTTTTCTTTAAGGCCAAGTGATGACATTTTAAGCATAAGGGAGGACTAAAAAGTAGGGCTGCACAATATATAGTTTTAGCATCGATATCGCAGTGTGCGCAGCTGCAATAGTCACAATCAAGATTATAGTTACTAGGAGCCTCAGATGATGTGTGGAGTCATAAGTAACTTTAGGAAAGATAAATAGTGAATACGTACTTGACTTCTAGTTGATTATTTGGAAATTTGGCATAAGTTCGATTTTTCCAATGAATCATCTGTTGAACTGCATCCCAATCATCACAAATACTGCAGAAGACATATTGGAACTCACATGGATCCAAGAATCTCACAGAAATCAGTCAAGTTTGATGAAGGAAAAGTCAGGTAGTTAGTTTTACTTATTTGTTAGTTATAGTTAACTTTATTTGTCCCCGTAGGGAAATTTCATTTGCAGTTTGCAGCATACACTCACAGAGATTTGGCGTATATAATAAAATAAAATATAATATAATATCATATCATATCATATCATATCATATCATATTTAAAAACACAATGCCTCTTCTCTAAAAAAATAACCAAGTCTACTGGCCATCAACTGCTACTGACAGTGAAGGAATTTAAAACTTGATTGCTTGGGGTATAAATGATACATTTTCCTATTTCTTACACACTTGGGGACACATTATCGATGACCTGGTAATATCAATTGGAAGGTGTTTGATAAACGATGTCTCTCATCATTGACAATCATGATTGTCAATTATTTAGTTCTCTTTCTTTGTATATACTATCAGTGCTCTATAGTTTCATTTCCAACAACTTACTGGCTGTTGTTACCACCCAGTGACTTCTTCTGGGACCAACAGATTACACAAAATGTTGCAATACTTTCAATAAAAGCACTATAAAATATTATCAACATTGTCAACATTAAAAGACAGTAATTTCTTTAAGTAGTTCATTCTCTGTTTTTAAAGCTTTTTCTTTACACAATCAGTCCATACATCCCATTTAGTTTTATTATCCAACATCACACCCACATATTTATGATGTTCTTAACTGAATTTACTCGCCAATAATTAATGTGGGCTGAGTTTTGTTTTGTGCTCTTTCTCTAAAATCAATAACCGTCTCATTAGTTTTAGGAATGTTTAGGAGAAGGTTTGAATTTTCACAACAGTCTAAAAAGTATTCAGGAACAGGGCTGTGTTCGTCCTTCTCTTCATTTAAATGGCTCATCAACACAGTATCATTCACATACTTTACAATATTTCTATTTTAAAATGAACCCACATGGATTTGTATAGAAATTAAAAAATGAACGGAGATAAAACACAGCCCTGGGGTGCTCCAACTGAAGTGCACATTTTATCTGAAATAAAACCTCCCATTTTAACTTGTTGGATAGCCCATTTATTTTAACTGTAAATTTGCTCTACTGTATTTATGATTGGTTTATTATATTTTATGCAAATGTTTTCCCCTATAAAATCAACCCAATCAATCTAAAATGATGAATTCTTTCCAAATAGAGCTTTAAATTTAATCTTTGAAAAGTGTATCACAGAAAAATTAAATATCATAATGAACTTTTTTTTTTTCAAAATCATGCAGGCCTGCTAAGAAGCTCTTTAAGGTGAATGAAAGGATGACAGAGCATCTGGATATGAGCGATGGGTTCCTGTCCTGCTGAATTAAACTCAGCTGGACACGATTCAACCTTTAATTGCACGTCAGACATGACCAAAATTACTTCAAGAGCTTCTGTCACTTTAATATGCTAACAGAGTCAGTTTTCCATCTCCAATTCACCTCTCCTGTTCTCTACTGAACTGTGTCAGAGGGTTTATTAGTTCTCATCAGGTCTGTGAGATTAATTTGTTCAGACTCAGAGTGAAATGATTTTCTTGTATCAGGATGATTTGATTGAGCTGCACAGACGTACAGTATGATGTTCTGCGAGCGTGATACTGACTGCAGCCTTTATAATTGAAAGGTGATGATTTTTGTGACAAATCGGTTTCATTGTGCTGTAATAAGATAAGACTTTCAGTGTTCAGACAGGTTTCTTGCTGCCGGATCTTAGAGGAAAACCTTTATTTAAAAACTCTTTTCATATCTGTCCAAATCTGCTGAGTTATTGGTTGCAGTTGGGATTTTCTATTTAGTGCACTTTAAAGGGATGGTTCACCCAAAAATCTAATTTTACTCACAATTTATTCACACAATAGTGGTTTATGATAACTTTTATGAATTGTTTTCTTCTGCTCAAAAAAAAAAAAGATATTCTGAAGAAAGTAGCCATTTAGACATTCACAGTAAGAACAAAATATACTATGGATGTCTATGGATGCTTTTTTACAGCATTCTTCAGTGTATCTTGCTTTATGGTTAACAGAAGAAGGAAACTCAAACAGGTTTGGAACTTTTTTTTTGTCATTTTTGGGCAAACTAACACCTCAAGTTGGTAGAGTTTGTGTTATATTCATACTTCAGTTGTGTTTATTGGTACTAAAGATTTAATCTGCAATCAATTCTGCAATTTGATCAGTCTGATCATAATCATTTATGGTTTTTTTCTAATAGAATGTAAAAATATACAATACATATAGGTGTCACGGTGGCGCAGTGGGTAGCACAATCGCCGGTCGCTGGTTCGAGCCTCTGCCGGGGCAGTTGGCATGTTTTCCACGTGTTTGCGTGGGTTTCCTCCGGGTGCTCCAGTTCCTCCCACAGTCCAAAGACGTGATATAGGTAAATTGGGTAAGCTAAATTGGCCGTAGGGTATGTATGTGAATGAGAGTGTATGGGTGTTTCCCAGAGTTGGGTTGCAGCTGGAAGGGCATTTGCTGCGTAAAACATATGCTGGATAAGTTGCCGGATCATTCCGCTGTGGCGACTTCAGATTAATAAAGGCACTAAGCTGAAAAGAAAATAAATAAATTAACTTTACATATATTTGTAACAGAAAGATTTGGGGGACAATAATCTATTGATAAACTCAGTTTATTAATAGATTAGTTAGGCAGGTCAGAGCTGCCACTGGCTGGTATGGGCAGGGCCGGAGCAAGCTGAACTGCCGCTGTATGCAGAGGACGATCACGCCGCCCTCAACCCCAATGTGAAAACGAAAGTGACCGGTTATGAAAATGAAGTGAGGTGTCGCGGACCTCTATTCTGTCGCATATGCGCGAACATATCAGAGGACGCGGGTGGTGAGGGGGGTGTTGCGGACGCCGCCCTCTCTATACTGCTGCTCTAGGCGACCGCCTAGGTCGCCTCTATGGACGCGCCGGCCCTGGGTATGGGCCCTATGACAACTTTCTTGAAGTCTGGTGGGGGCTGACGCAGAAGAAAGTGAAGAGCTGGGCACGGGTGGGTGGAGTTGGTTTGGCCCTGGAGGTGTGTCTGTTGCTGACAATAGTGTAGAGCAAGGATAGGCATGAACTGATGTTTCAACAGTGTCGAGATCCCAAAGTGCAAGGCTGCGTCCGAAACCACCTACTACTCAGTAGGTACTGCATTTGAGTTTAAACGTACTACTCGGCCGTTAGAAAAGTACGTTCTATACAGTATGAATGTAAAAGTATGAATGGAATTCGGACGTACTACATCCGCCATTTTGTCATAATCACGTGACCTACCTGCGTCAATTACGTCGCTTTACTCCCATTCATGAATTCGCTCGCGGGGCATCATGGGATAGCGCAGCATGCATGAGATGCGCACTCTAGAATCTCGCCGGAAGTAGTAAGTCATCCAAATTAGGTTTTAGGAATGGGGTAAGGGGTAGGTGTTAAAAATACAATTTATTGGGTAATTTAATAGATAGCATAAATAATACTCGGTACAACCACTGTTTTTACGTTTCTGTGACGGTTGAGTTTAGGGTTATAAACTAACATCTATAGCTGCATCCCCCTGGATTCGAATCCATTACCTCTGCATGCCAGTCTAAAACTCTCACCGCTTCATTAAATCACTTCAATTCTACAACGTTGGGTTTAATACCCCCATTTGATTAACTCTTTCTTTGCTGTTCCAGAGCAATACCTGAAAATGTGACCACTAGGTGTCACTATAGAGACGAGTTTCGAAACGTTTCAGTGTTTCATGAAGTCTCGCTTTGCCCACCACTAGTGGATGTTGATTAGGCCCCCTAATAATAACTCTGGGGGCTCCAAACTGGTGTTGGACCTTAGAACCGTGCTAACAAGCCCTCGGTAAATTGAAGACGTCTGCAAATTCACAATTGTGAGTAATTAAGTCACAATTCTGAATTGGAAGATATCATTTCAGAATTTCGAGATTTACATTAATCTATAATGTAATAAAGAAGAAGATCAGGTTTTTGATGACATGAAGGTCCAACAGTTTGGGGTTCAATATAACATTTTGTATTGTATAAACAATTGTATTGTAATTAATATTTATTAATTTATTTTAGTAATGTACATGTATATTCACTTTTTAAAACATATTCATTGCTGCAGAAAGTGCAAACCTCACACTCATGGTAAACATTAAATAATACAGCTGTTAACAAATAAGATGTTGACTTGATTCTAAACCCCTTTTCCAGAGCACCGTCGACAAACTCATAAAGAAAACCAACTTGGCCCTTCTGGTGGGTACCAACAGTTGGAGAGACCAGTTTGTTGAAGCCATCACTGTCAACTCAGGTAAAGGCCACATTGTTTAATCCCAACATACTGTAAGAACCGCTATTACACAATGACAGATTGGACAGATGATATTTATAAAACAACTGTTTTGCTGTGTTTCCTCACTGCGAGGCTTGTTTTAATTGCTGTTCAATCACTGCGCTAATTTAGCCGCATATCTTTAATTAGCGCACTATTGCAATTTAAAACGTGTTAGTGCTGAAAATCTGCCTGTAGCCATGCAGACGGAAATGAACGCGAGTGTTTCATCAGCTAAAATGACACTCCAGATTGTCACTCAGACTGATGCCGCAGAGACCTGATCATAATTTGCTTTTTCATCATGAGCTCTCAGTAATAAGCAGGAATTCCAGGATGAACCGGTCTCAGCAATGAGTAGCAAACAAACAATCCATTCATAATGCCTTAATGTCTAATCATATCAATTCTTTTTGATGTCATAATCGTTCATATTTTCTATTGACTCTTTTTCATAACCTGATTATAGTGCTCCTGTTACGCTTTTTCAGATATTATCTTTCATGTGGTGTTTAATATGTCATTCGGGAAAGTTCAAAGTTCATGATGAATGGAGTTTTTGTCTCAAGAGAGAAAGAACCAATTCTGAACTGCCTGAAATGTGTCATCAGTAGTTTTAATCTTATGAATCTTGCATAATAACAGCTAGTGGTCATTATTGGCTCAGCAATGATGGCTACTTTGATCCTTAAATGCTGTATTTGTAGCCGAGGCATAAAAGAATTAGGTTTGTATTGTTGACATATCAACTGTTTCTTGTTCTGTTAAAGCAAATTGACTTTGGTTTTACTTCTAATGGATGAGAACTAATTATGAATTAATAAATACTAAACTATTCCTAATGTTTCTTCATTATAATAAACTATTCCAGATGTGATTATGGGCATTTGGTTACAGACAGAAGCTTATCCTGTGGTCTGTGTGGGTAGTAATGCCCCAGTATATTGTTGGGGACTCTATACTGTTCGATGAGACATTAAACAGACTCTTTAAAACTTGTTAAAAATCCCAGGATGTTCTTTGAAAAAGAGTAGTGGTTCAAACCTGGCATCCTGGCCAAATATGCCCACTGGCCTCTGTCCATCATGGCCTCCTAACCATCCTTACTCATCACTCTGTCTCCTCTCCACCAATCAGCTGGTGTGTGTTGTTCAGTCTGGCACAAGATGGCTGCCGTAAAGTGCTTTATGTTTCCAGATGGATGCAAACGAAAATTAGGAACCCAATAGACACAATTTGGTCCTTTTTTTAAATGGAAGGTGAAATGGCAATTTGAGTGTCAAAGTTGTATAAATTCTATAATAACTGCCACAATTAAATTGTTTGCTAATTTGGATCAAATCTCTTTTATGTGAGAGTATGTTTACACAACAAATATGTTCTAAAAAAGCGTTAAAAAAGCATTCTCAGAATGATACTTATTCATATGAATCTGCCAAAGAGTAAAAGTAAAGCTGAATTATGCTTTATGGTCCTGTAGTCCATGTGTATGTTGTTTAATTTATTTTTCTTTATTTTTTCTTTATTTTTTCTTTTACTTTATTTTATTTTATTTATTTTTATTTTATATTATTTTACTTTTATTTGTTTTTTATTTTATTTTGTATAATCAATTTTATATTATTTTACTTTTATTTATTTTATTTTACTTATTTTTTATTTAATTTATTTATTTTAGATTATTTGACCTTTTATTTTATTTTACTTTCTTTTATTTATTTTTTATTTTATTTTAGAATTTTTTACTTTTATTTATTTTATTTTTTATTTTATTTATTTTTCATTTTATTTTTATTATTTTATATTATATTATTTTACATTTTTGTTTAATTTACTTTATTTTATTTATTTGACATTTTATTTATTATTATTTTACTTTGATTTATTTTATATTTTATTTTAATTTTTATCTATTTTATTTTATTTATTTTTATTTCAATTTATTTCATTTTATATATTGATTTATTTTTTATATTATTTAATATTTATTAAATTTTTTATTTTATTTTCATTTATTCATTTTCTTTTGGCTTTGTCCCTTTATCAATTTGTGGTCGCCACAGCGGAATGAACCGCCAACTCATCCAGCATGTTTTACGCAGTGCTTCCAGCGATGGACTGCCCTTCCAGTTGCAATTCATCGCTGGGAAACATCCATACACACTCATTTACACTCATACACTACGGACGATTTTTAGCCTACTCAATTGACCTGAACCGCAAGTCTTAAGACTGTGGGGGAAACTGGAGCACCCGGAGCAAACCCACGTGAACGCAGGGAGAACATGCAAACTCCACACAGAAACGCCAACTGATCCAGCAGAGGTTTGAAACAGCGACCTTCTTGCTGTGAGGCGACAGCACTACCTATTTATTTTTATTTATTTATTCATTGTCAAGTATTCACACATGCCAACAGTCTAAACATAGAACATACATTACTGTTTTTATGCAACATCGCCATTTGCAAAAAATGTGTTTTTGAAGCTAGGACATAATAATTGTAGACATTTTCAGGGACACAAATTACTGTTGATGTTTAAATGACCAAAGAACACACTAAATTTATCAGTTTTTTTACTTTCTATTTACTAAAAAACTGCACTAAAACTGCTCGAAACTGAAACTGCTAGAATACTTTTCTGTTGTGAATATCAAAGACTAAATTATACACATTTAGTTGTATAGTTGTATACACATAATTTGTATGTATAATTCTATAATTACATTCCTAGTTTTGGTTTAAAAATAATTATTACTAATTATAGTTATTTATAAAACTATTTATAAGTAAATATCAATACAAAATAGGTATTTGAAATATTTCAATAATATATTATTTTACATCAGTTTTTCACAACATAAAAAGTAGTTTGTACCAGTGCGTTTATTTTGCGACACTTTGTGCCAATGTTGCATTTATTTTAAATACTTTAAATGTGTTGTTGAGACAATGGGAAAAACAAAACAAAAAATAATGATTTGTTTCTTATGGATTTGCTGTTTTTTGTGTTTCTTTTTCTCCAACATTCTTTTGCCATCAGTCAAGCTTTACTGTGAGCATAATCAAACCAAGCCTGCATCAGTCTCTCTTCTTTAAAATGTCAGGGCCTTTTGCTTTCTCGCTCCGTCCGGACACTTTTTGAAGCGTCTTTCGTCATGAAGCACAGTGTATTAATAAGGAATGTGTGTGACTGTTTTTTCCTGCAGTCAGGCGCACACACAAACCCTCATTCTGACAGGCTTGACTGAAGCTGACAGAGCTTGTTAATGCCTAAGCTGAGAGGAAAGAGAGGGAGGGGATCATAATCGAAATTCTTGAGGAATATTTGTCATAATTAGACATCAGGCAATCTCCAGTTGTGAACTGAAATGAACTTCCTTTATCATGATGACACTGTATTATGCTGAAGGTTCATTTATCATTGTGCACCTAAACATTTTTTACAATTAAATAATTATATGGAATATTTATTTTTAAATTATACAATTCACAATTTTTTTTAACATTCTACAGAATTATGAATAACATCCAAAGTTGTACTCATTGGGAAATATGTGGTTTTAGTGCTGAAAAAATAATTCAATTTAATTAAAGTTTATTTGTATAGCTAGCATTTAATTAATTAATTGATAAGCGGCTTTACCATAGGTGCACATTATTGCATTACACTTAAATTAAGTTACAATCAAATATAAGTTATATACATAAACATAGTTAATCTGCAGTTGTATAGCATATATGTCTATGTGTACATGTTTAATAAAGTGTATTTGTGCAAATATAACTGTTTAGTATAGGTAGAACCATCTTTTATTATTTTTAAGTTAACAGTAAGAAATTCTATAACAATTTGTACTGTGTCTTATTTTGTGGATGTGACAATATTATCTGCAATGCCCATAGATATAAACAATCGGCACATAATAGGGTATATGCACAGCTGGTGTTTCTTTCCATACTGATACATTTCTGGTGAACGTTTATGTGACTGCCATAAAAAACTGCCATTTTTAATTTAATATGGCTCCTTTACAGCATCAATGTAATGTATTAAAATATAATTAGTTAAATCGACTTCAGCATTCATTTAGTTGTTCATGCGTTAAAAAAATGAATAGCGGTTTACACACACATGCAAATCAGGATCAGCAGGTGTGCACAGAAACTCCATTGCAAGTACTGCAGTAAAATAAATGTTCATATTTTAAAGATTTGGCACAGAAAAATGTAATTTAATGCAGTGCTTCTTGTACATTCTGATTCACTTTATATCAGATATTAATTAAGCAGTGAAGATCGTTGATTTTTAAAGAAAACAGACTTTAAACGTGCTACAGTTAGTTCACCGGAAGTGTTTGAAAATTGGTAACACTTTAGAACAACTATCCGTTATAACTAGTTAATAGGTCATTAATAAACTGTTAATGAGTTATAAATGAATTGTTAACTGTATTTTAATGATTTACAACTATGCCTAATAAATTTGTAAATAAATAAAAGTTAATAGTTTGTTAATTATTTATAACTGTGCCTTAGGGATAGCCAAAAGATAACTTATAAGTTGTTAGTTAACAAGTTATAAATAACTTGTTAACTGTATTTTAATGATTTATAATTATATTAGTAACAGATCATGAACAAGCTGTTAGTAAAATACTTGCTAAATACTTGTTAAGAATCAGTTAATAGTTTACATATGGTTTGGGACGTTTTTCTTAAGTTGCAATTATTCTTTATTTATTAACTGTTAGTAAACGAGGAATAGTTGCAACTAGACTAACGTCCCAATAACATACATAAGCTAATAACTAACACTTAACTAATATATCAACTCATACTTTACAGATCAGTTGTTCATAGTTTGTTAACCATCTACTAATACTAGTGAAACTTTGTAGAACAGCAAATGGATGGAACAAGTTCAAGCTACAGACATTTGATGTGAAATTTAATATAACATTTTTGTACCCTAACCTTGTTCCACTCTTAGGCTTTTCTGTGTGCTGTATTTTACCAAAGACACTTGACTGATGAAATGTTGAATGATGTGTTTAAAGTATAGAAACACATACTAAGCCATCAATTGTCAGAACAACAGTATACAACAGAGTACAAACTCATAAGGATTGGGCACTTTTTGTGCTAAAGATGAAAACAAAATAAAAAAATCTTTTATTAGAAAAGTTTTACAAAAGTTTCACTGGTATTAGTAGATAAGTAGATTAGAACAACTGATCTGTAAAGTGTGAGTTAATATATTATTTAAGTGTTGGTTATTAGCTTATGTATGTTATTGGGACGTTATTCTAAAGTTGCAACTATTCCTCATTTACTAACAGTTAATAAATGAAGAATTGCAACTTTAGAAAAACGTCCCAATAACATATATACACTATTAACTGATACTTAACAAATTCTTAGTAAGTAATTTACTAACCGCTTGTTCATGATCTATTACAATTTTATTAGGTATAGCTATAAATCATTAAATGCAGTTAACAAGTGATTTATAGTCATTGAGTCATTAAGTTAACTAACAGCTTGTAAGTTATCTGTTGGCTATCTATATGAGGCACAATTATAAATAATTAACAAACTATTAACTTTTATTTAACAAGTCATTTATAACTTATTAACTAATAGTTTATTAATGATCTATTAGCTAGTTACAATGGATAGTTATTTTAAAGTGTTACCATAACACTTAATAAATAATAAACATAAATAAATAAATAACATACATTTTCAACCAATGTTACTTTAGATTGCATGTAAAAATGTAAACAAAATAAAATAAAATAAAATGAAAGAACAGAAAAAAGAAAGAAAGAAAAAAAGAAAGAAGAGACAAAAAACTAAGTATGTGGTATTTTTTCCATTTATACTTTATTTTTATTGGATAATTGTATTTTTACATTTGAAAAAAAGGTTTTATGTGTGAATTTTACAGAAGAATAGAAATTTTAAAGCATTATCCCTTTTAATATCAATTGGTTTTAATTTGTAATAATAATAAAACAATAATAAGGAATGTTTTTTTTTATGTGCTAGGGCCGGTGTGATATTGAAAAACATATTACAGATACAGTACACAGCACCCCACTTTGAAAATAAATATTTTTCTTCATTTCTCTGTGAATATAGTTCATATATATTGGTGCATTTGAACAAAACAGATTTATTAAACAGATATATTTATTAAAATAATATTTTAGTCACAGAACATCTTTACGAATAGAAAGATAATACATTAAAATTCATGCAAAATTTTGCAAAGACAAACTAAAAAATTTTAACTAAACTTTATACATTATTTCGCTTCTCTTGAATTTCGCTCTTTTTGAATTTTTTTATTTAATATTTTTTATAACATGTAAACTTGGTTGTACTAATTTTGGAGTTATCACAAGGTATTTTGTTTGATTAGCTCCAGATTTGGCTTCAGTGCTGACTAATCTAATGTGTATGCACAACTATAATATTGTAAAGCATCCTATAGAAAATATGAATTTAAATGAGAGATTTTTAAGGGGGGGGGGTACTCGTATATGTTGAGCACTGTAAACATATTCTGATTTTTTTTTAAGACTAATTAATTAAATTGTGAAATAATAAATGTTTTTGTTATTATATCTGTGTGTGTGTGTGTGTGTGTGTGTGTGTGTGTGTGTGTGTGTGTGTGTGTGTGTGTGTGTGTGTGTGTGTGTGTGTGTGTGTGTGTGTGTGTGTGTTTGTGTGTGTGTGTGTGTGTGTGTGTGTGTGTGTGTGTACATTTTAATTGAACATTTTAATTGAAAATGATCTGTTGATAAACATTGTTTTTATGAGGGATGTTTTAGATTGTCTAAAAATGTTCACAATATAACATTACTTCTTATTATTTTATAATCGATGCTCAAATTTTAACCTGGCATGAATTTATTTTAATTGAGCATGACATTTGGCTTACACAGATAGGACTGGACCTTCTATGTGTTTCTGCCTCCTCTGATTTATTTCCAGAAATTTGAATGTCAGCTCTTGGGTGTAACAACGATATGCTTATCACACGCTGATCTTCCCCGGAGGAAGAGGACAGCAAACAAACAAAAAAAAAAACAATCCATACAGCTCACATCTCCTCTCCTTTTTTCTCATCCCAAGGGGACGATGATGATGAAGAGTGTGGCCAAGAAAAGATGCCGTCCTGCTTTGACTACGTCATGCACTTCCTCACGGTATTCTGGAAGGTTCTGTTTGCATTTGTGCCCCCTACTGACTACTGGAACGGCTGGGCTTGTTTCATCGTGTCCATCATGATGATTGGCGTCCTCACCGCCTTCATCGGGGATATAGCTTCTCATTTCGGGTGCACTATTGGCCTGAAAGACTCTGTGACTGCAGTCGTGTTTGTGGCACTGGGAACGTCTGTGCCAGGTATTGAAGACGTACAATTCTCTTTTGTGACAAGTAATCTGAGCAGTTGCTTTCATTACATTCAAAATACGGCTAGAGAAGACTTTTAAAATACACTCTAATCTTTGTTTGTTGTTGGCTGAGTATCTGATGCATGACTTGTAAAGACTCTGTCCTCTTCTGAAAAGGGGGAGGGAAGCAGCGGCTCATTTGCATTTAAAGCATGTTTTTGTTTTCATTCATTCATTTTCCTTTGATTTAGTCTGTTTATTCATTAGGGGTCACCACAGCGGAATAAACCGCCAATTGTCCAGCATATTTTACACAGTGGATGCCCTTCCAGCTGCAATCCAGTACTGGGAAACATCCATACACACTCTTTCACACAAATACATCCAGCCAGGACTCGAACCAGTGGCCTTCTTGCTGTGAGGCGACAGTGCTAACCACTGCGCTACAGTGTCAGCTGTTTTCATTCATAAATAGGCATTTAGACAGCGGCACAGTGGCTTATTTGTATTGAAATTTGTTTTGAAAATACTGTCACAGTGCACGAACTTCATGGTCCTTAAAATAAGCTTCATTTTATTTACACAAACTAAAAAGTGTTTTATCTCGTTTCAGTTTCAGTCAAAATATAAACTTGTTTTTATTTCAAATATGAAAATGTTTTTACTAAGATTCACCCATTTTTGGATAACACTATTTGTTTGTTTTTGTCTTCATCGCCAGACACATTTGCCAGTAAAGTGGCAGCGATCCAGGATCAGTACGCGGACGCCTCCATCGGCAACGTGACAGGCAGCAATGCAGTGAACGTGTTTTTGGGCATCGGAGTGGCCTGGTCTATTGCTGCCATCTTCCACCAGTCTCAGGGGCGGCAGTTTCGCGTGGACCCCGGGACGCTGGCCTTCTCTGTCACACTCTTCACCATCTTTGCCTTCGTCTGCATCGCCGTCCTCATGTACCGCCGCAGGCCTGAGATCGGCGGAGAACTGGGCGGCCCGCGCCATCCCAAAATAATTACCACTACACTGTTTTTCAGTCTCTGGTTGATGTACATCATACTGTCCTCAATGGAGGCTTATTGCATCATCAAGGGTTTCTAAAATGATGCCACAGATGCGGGACGGTGTCTTTAAGACTCTTGTGAACAGGTGGAAAAGGTTCAGAAGAGGAGCTCAGAGCAGCCGTGGAGGACTGCCTGCTGTTTCTTGAACATCCACTGTATGTTTTATGTGTGTGAATGCCCAGCTAACAAGGATTATTCTCTGAACGTTCTGGCGAGGTTCTCTTTAAGTTATTAGTGAATGAACCATTTTTTTCATTATTTCCTCTAATTATTAGTTGTAGTTTAGCTGGATTGAGGCAAAAAAATGTACAGAGTGATTCAACATAGGCTAATTCTGAAAACGTAGCCCTATATACATTTTTGGAGATTGCAATTTATGTAGCCAGAGCTATGTATGGCTGCAATTTATCTTTAAAATGAATGCTGTGGGGCGGTATGACACCGTTCCTTTGTACGCTTACCAGCTGACTGCTTACCTCCAAGTGGATGACTTTTCTGCTGTTACCAGTTTGTCCGGTAGCTCGACATGTATGTTGGCGGACTTGAGATGCAGTGAGGAGTTGACCACAACAACAGGGTTCGAGTCCGATAAAGAATAGTTTCAGAAATTGGGTAAGACAAAAACAGAAGCTAAAAAAATAAAATGAACCAGTAAATAACAGGGTGAGAATGTAGTAAAATCTGAAAATGTGGTAAAAATCAGGGAAATCAGATGTTTCTGGATTCCTTTTTAAAACTGACGTTGGGTTTAGGGAAGGGGATAGGCGGGTCAATCTGTGATTTTTTTAAAACACTTGTGGTTGGATTAGGAAAGGGGGAGAGTGGGGAATCGGTCGGTTGGTCAGTTAGTAAACTAGTCAGTTGACAGCAGCCTCTGGTGGGTTTACACGAGGACGGCTGGCACAAATGGCGCCCGCGAGAGAGAAATTTGAGATCTAAAAAAGCAAACACAAAACAAAAACTGCAAAGAAATGTAGATCCTGAATCGTATTTTGCTCTCTCCGGAAATGTATATAGGAATACAGAATCATAATGAACCTGGGCTAGAGTAATTAGCCCTTCAGTCTACTGACCCCTAATAAATTATATAAATAAAAAAAATGTGATAAATTAAATAAAGTTTTTGCTATTTAGTTTTACTTTCACTTTATTCAAAACAACTGGTCTTTAATAGTGTGCCCAAACATTAACACAAAATATTATTATTTATCAGATTAAAATAATTTTTAATATAATTTTTTGGATTTTCTCTAATGTTTTTATGTATTACCTGTTCAGAGAAAATCCAAAAGTAAGATTCGTCATATGCTTGCACAATGGAATACACATATTGATTTTCACATATCAGGAAGAAAAATAAAACTACTCAAACTAAAACACTTAAGAATAATATTTTTATAATGAAATGGGAATGTTTGCAAAATGTTCTAAGAGTGTATTTCTGTTAGCTGGGCTCACGTGTGTTTCTGCTGTTGAAATGAATCTAGTTTTCAATGAAGAAAGAAAAATTGTCTAGAGGTTTTTCAAATTTGACAGTATTTTAGTAAGAAATGGAAATGTTCATTTTGCTGGACTGATTAAAGGGATAGTATTTTATTACCATTTACTTACACTCAAGTAGTTGTAAACATTTACCAATTTTGTTCTTTTGTTGAACACAAAACCGGTCCTGAAGAATGTTGGACAATGCATTGTACTTAGGAAGTTACAAAAAATACTATCTATGGAAGTCAGTGGTTGAAATTTGTTTGTGTTCAACAGAAAAAAACTTAAACAAGTTTTGTACAAGTGGAGGGGACGTAAATGACAGAATTTACTATCCCTTTAAGCTGTAGACTGAGTATACCATGACAGAAATGATCGTAAAATTATTACATTCACACTGATCCCTGAAAATGACCAAAAATGTGTTGTATTGTTCTGCATGCCAGGCCAGTAGGTGGTGATGTCATTTTGTAAGGTACCACTACACACCAGCGCACGTGATGTCACTGTTTTGTAGTTTAAAAAGGGACAAAGGTATTCAACAGCATTGCAACTAATGGTAGACTGTGTTCATGTCGTCCTGGGACATTACAACTTATAAGTTCACAAGTCATAATAACAACATCTGCTGTGTTCAAGTCACTTTCAATGGCACACAATAGAGTTGTACCTACATTTGATAAATTGCTAATAGAGTTTGTTGCCTTTGCTTACAGAAAATGAAGACCAAATAATTTGCATCAATTGTGTTTAGTCACTTACAGTCCACAAAAGTTGACTTTCCACTTATATGAATTCTGCCTTCTCATCTACATGTACTGTAGTAAGCAAGGATTTGCTTGATTGAGCACCTGCCTGTAAGAATCGTGGATGTGCGCACAATTCTGTTTCTTAAGAGCTAATCTACACTTGGTAGTGAGATAATGGTCATCAGAAGATCAGAAGGCCTAAAGAAAATTTTTAATTTCCACACTCATCACGACTTTGTAGTGCCATCCATATGCATAACTCATAAAAACAATTTTCCAGACATGACTTGAACACACCATAATTTCGTCATTCGTTAGCATGACAGCAGCATTTTAGCAGCCTGAAAACACATTTTTGAAAATGCTTTATGACATCATATGCATATGTAGTAGCCTATTAAGTGTTCAGTTTAGTCAATATGTGCACAGGTGCCTATTGTTACTTGACAAAGTGGCATCGCTCCCTACTGGTATATATTGCAAAATACAGCATGTAATGTTTTTCGCGGGTCATAATCTTTAAATACAAAAACGAGTGACCTTTGGATCCAATATCGAAATGCTTTAAAGATCACCGTCATTTTAAATCTCAGAGATACTTGAACCATTTTGCAGAAGAGCAAGACGAAACAAACTGCAAATATGTGGCTAAAAAGAGAAAAGGTTGCATTTTAAATACTAAACGGGTGTTTAAAGCAACGAACGGCATCAAAAGACTTTATTTTGTAAGATTTTAAAGCATTAGCGTGTGGATTTGTGACTATTATAAGTTTTGGCTTCAGTTTTTGAGTTTTATTTTCCCAAGTAATCTAAAAAAATCCACCTTCCAGGTTTTGTGACACCGACTCAGAAAGAACGGCTCTCTCTACAGGAGCCCTTTGAGGACATTTCAGAATAATCTCATTATATTACATGTATTGCACTGTGTTTTCTGTCTCCGAATCTACGTTTTGTCATATCATGGACTCAAAGAAGTGTGCAGGTACCAGTAGTTTTAGTACACAACCAATTCCTACAGTATGTCTGCCCGCATTTAGATGAAATGAGAACATTCGAGATTTGTTTTTATTTTAATACTGTAGCTACGAGGAGTGCATGTTCTCTGGTTTTTTATTTATTTTTTGCGACTGCTCCCTTTATGAATATAAACAAAGACTATTTTCAAGGATCTCCCAAAACAAGTCAAATCAACACAGTCAACATTGATACTGAATATGGTTTTTGTGTGTTCAGTCCTCAGAAACAATTTCAGGACTATTTTCATCCCGTTTGAGGACACGAGCACACTGGTGAGAAGTTTTTTCCTATTTCTTTTTTTCAGTTTTTTTGTTTTCAGGTAGTATAATTGGCTTAGCTTCTGTCCTTCAGAACGAGGCAGATGAACAAACATCCTCTTAGTCCATATTGTCCGGATATGAAGTAGTTTTCCCTCGCGTGTGCGAGTGCTCAGATCCTGTAAGTTTTATTTTGAGTGTCATCTGTATAATACAGTCTTTCTTTGGAATTGTCTGTGTTTCAACAATCTCTCTCTCTCTCTCTCTCTCTCTCTCTCTCTCTCTCTCTCTCTCTCTCTCTCTCTCTCTCTCTCTCTCTCTCTCTCTCTCTGTGTGTGTGTGTGTGTGTGTGTGTGTGTTGAATAGCAACATTTTCAGTTTAGGTTTAGTTGTTTATTGATGATAAAATGGCGCCCTCGTGTGTCGGAGTAATGTAAAGTCCTCGTTTTCAATGATTTAAACAAACCAGCATATTCATTTTTCATTCATTCTTTTTCTTTTCGGCTTAGACCCTTTATCAATCAGGGGTCGCCACAGCGGAATGAACCGCTTTATGCCCTTTCAGCTGCAACCCATCACTCAATACACTCATCACACTCATACAGACAATTTAGCTCACCCAATTTACAAAAAAAACTGCTTAAACCAGCCTAAACTCCTCTAAAACCAGGCTGGTCGAACAACTAAAACCGGCCAACCATAGGCTGATTTAAGTTGGATTTCTCAGCAGAGTTATTATAGCTTATAAAATAGTTAATCAATGTTTCAGTTTATTGAAATAATGCTGTATACCTGTATATTGGTTGGAAAGCCTAAAACAAAAGTTAGAAATGCTGCCATGGCAGCTGAAATTATATAAACTGAGTTATTTAATTATTAATAAAAATAAAATCAACAAAATTGGACATTTTCACACATCTTAATGAAAGTTTCTACACTGTAAAAAATATATGCTCAATTAGTCATGACAGCATATGTTTTTAGTTCATTGTAACTTTAACTCAGGGGTGTCCAAACTCAGTCCTGGAGGGTCGGTGACCTGCATATCTTAGTTCCAACCCCAATTAAACACACCTGAACCAGCTAATCAAGCTGTTTCTGGGTATACAAAAAAACATTCAGGCAGGTGTGCTGAAGGCAGGACACCGGCCTTCCGGGACCGAATTTGGACACCCCTGTTCTAACTTACTTTTTAAGTTACCTGTAAGCTGTTTTAAGTGAGTTTAACATCATAAAAGTTCAATGGACTCATGCTGTAGGTTTAAATTGAATCAGCTTAAAAATGTAAGGCAACCAGGATTTTTTTACAGTGTAAAGAAAACTACAGAACTACTGCTCAAAATTAATTGCTCGACTTTTCCAGGCCATTAAATTAATTATGCGACTATTTTTAAATGCATTAACTTCCTTGTTAGCTTTTTTAACTTGTCAAAAATGTATTTCTTGAATTGAAATGTAAAACATAAATGTAAACTTAAAAATGAATTGAAATGATGAGAAATGTTGGCTTGGTGATTAACAAATATGATATTTTTAAAGTATAAAAATTACTAAAACTTATAAATCAAAACTAAAATCATGTAATTAAATGATAAAAATATATCATAAAATTGTTTTTAAATTTATTTAATACTGAAAAATATTGTTTTGCTAATTCAAAATGTCAATAAAAACCTCACCAGTACCATACTAACATACATAATACAAATAAACACTACGGATCACATGGGAAAAACTAAATCAGCAACACTAATCATTACTTAATTACCCTAAACTGCTTTCCTAGAATTTATATATCACCCATATCAATGTGAGTCCGAAATCAACAGCATTGTGTAATATTTCTGCACATGCAGTATTTTTTTTACAAAAGAGAGAGCAGAAAACATGCTGGCACAGCTTAAAATGATCCACCATATGGCTGCATGGCAAAAAAAGAATAAAACAATCCCAAAACTCTGCCCAAATTCTCACGAAATGGTTTCTTCATAGACCTTTATTTCATCATTATATTATTTTGATTTACAATACACTTTCAGGAACACAACAGAAATTTCGAGGCGAACGGTACATGTTTTCAGTAATATGTCACTGTTTTGGCTCAGTTTTTTTTGGGTGGGGGGGCAAACAATATCCAGCAGTTAATATAATCCCCGTCGCTTTATATTCGTTCAGAACTGGTATTTTGAACAATGGCATGACGTCAGGAGCGAGGCTGGTTGATTCGAGAGCATCCACTTCAAGCATGCGGCCATAATAAGATTGCACTGCTATAGCGAGAGCCGCGTTCGACTTCATCCAATCAGGAAATTTTGCATATATGCACATCTTACATCTCCTCGTGTCTCTTTGATTTCTCAATCCTTTTGAATATCGGCCTCCAGCTGTTACCCAAAGGTGATATATATGCAATCATGCCTTTATACATTTGTCTGATGTGGTGACATGAAGCGCCCTATTCATCCCTGACTGGATTTGACTATTTGAGTCGACTCCTATCTGTTTGCGAACCAAAACCTACGATTTAATCACATAAAAAAATAACACTGAGCGTAATCGTTTGAATTTCAGACGGTTTGCGTACAAAACAAAAGAAAACTGTGGCTCAGATCCTAAGTATCACCTGATCCAGAGGATGATTGCATCACAACAACCCACAAACGTACACATATCATTGTCAAATCAATAGATTTTTTTGTTCGTTACTTTCATACATGTATATTTGTTTTTGTGTGTTTGTGTTTTCTTTTATTTTTTTATTATGTGTTTGATTTGTAAGGAAATGCAACAGTCTTGTCTTTCACTCTGTATAACGTCAACGCCACTCCATAAGTCATGAAGTCCACTTGAAATCGTTTTCCTAAAGCGCCGAGTGCTGATTAATGTCCTCCAGGCCACCAGGAGGCGCTCATACCGAAGACTCCCGCGCCGTTTTGGAGCGAAGAGCCTTTGTGCGGCTCAGGAAGGGATATGTTGTGCAGATGCAGCCAGACGCCACTGTTAGCCCCAGACTGACCCACGCGCAGAAGATGGACCATCCGTAGCTGTGGTCCACGTCACTGGGCAGGCCATAAATGAAGGGAGGGTTTCTGGAGAGGTCGTACGAGACACTGGCGGCATATGTGCACAGTGAGATCGTGCAGAAGATTCCTGCAGGAGAGAAGAAGAATCAGAAGAAGCACTTTGAGGTGACTGATTTGAACACATGACTATCCTGATTTCCAGAGAAAATGATGATAAAATTACATATAAAGCAATATCACGCAGGCTTGTGTGTTTATAGATAGATTTTTGATGTTCTTCTGTTTAAAAGGAAGCAAGACAGACTGAAGAATGTTGGCTATTTTTGTTGACGATTAAGAAAAGAAGTGTGCTGAACTTTTTTATGTCGCTAGGCAACAACTGCGGGTTGTGCCCGAGTGTTGCTGTTGATATTGTTATAACTGTAATATATAATAATATTGTGATATTCAAGATTTATGAAGTCATACAGCTCCAGATAACTCCAAGCAGCGACCACAAGTCTCTCCTCCGTCTTTAAAAGTCTCCATAGTGGTCTTGACAACACAACCACTGCTGTCTCCTCAACGAAAACCCCATCTCTGCTTTCATTTGATTGGACAATGAAAAAGACTGACGTAACACTGCCTTACATAGAATTTTTTGTTCCTACTATAGAAATCAATAGCTACTTTTTTTCCCACCATTCCTTAGAATATCCAGCCTGATCCCACGAGGAAACGTAAGTATCTTAAATTTTGTTAGTTTAGTGGCTAATTCGTTTTAATTCATACGAGTTCAGTCGTACAAAAATGTGTAATTTTAAAAAGGAGGCGTGGCACCTAACCCCACCCCTACCCCAACCGTCATTGGGTGATGACCAAATCTTACTAAATTGTACGAATTAGATCGTACGAATTCATACGAATTAGCCACTAAATCAAAAAGTTACAAATTGCCTTGAGATTGCGTTGGAATATCTTGTTTTGTGTTCAACAGATCAAAGAAACTCATAAAGGTTTAGAACCATTTGAGGGTGTGTAAATATACATTTTTGGATAACCTATCGCTTTAAGACATCTGCAAGGGCGTAGAATTGGCATGGATGGAGGGAACATGTCCCCACCAATATCCATCAATTACTAAAATGTCCCTAACAATAATTTAATCGTCTTCAAAATGAAATAATACTCCATCAACCCTTAGTAACCTACATGTGCACAAAGTCAAGTTCGGTACGAGTTCACCGTAACACTATTAACCAAGATATTCGCTTTTATTTTTGGCCTCCATGATTAGGAAAAACTATATTCGGGATAAACCAGTAAATTGCATCACACACCTCTCTTAATTTCTCTTCATTCATACCTCCTTAAAGGCCGACTGTAATAATACTATGTAAATTAGCTTTTGCAGTATGGGATGGGATTATTATTTGTATAATTAAGTGTTTATTATATATTATAAAGTTGTTTAATCATGTTTTTAAAAGAGCAAAACAGAATTTGTGCTGTTCAATGCATGCACTCTAGAGATGTACGTCCCTACCAATGTCAGAAGTGAAGCTACACCCTTTTGCATCTCAATATGTAAACTGTCTGGGTTAGCACTCTTCGCCATGAAACGGAAGTCTTATTTTCCTCTATCGTGATGTACGTCCACTTGAAACAGTTTAGAAATTTAAAAGAAATGTAGGGGTGGTGTCATTTTGGAAATTCTTGCCCAGATTTGGCATAAAGCTGGCACAGCAGGCATTCATCCAGCACTGGCATACAGCATGGCCCTGGTCTGACACCGTCTTTAAGGCAGCACAGAATACTTGGGCCAGATGTAAAATCTAGTATTTGGCTCAGACGTTACTAATGATATGTGGGCCATGTAGGTTTGGTCTGTCTTGATCCACATTTAAAATACATTATAATTCTATTCAAATAAAGAAAAAAATTCTACCAATCAGGTCGCTTCGAGAAAAAGCACGCCAATAAACCATCTAAAGCGCAATGATTCATGGGTTTATCAATTTCATTGTAGTAGTGACACACCAACATATCTGGCCCAGTTCAGGATCAGTTATGGGTTATTAACTTGGCTGAGACTTGGCCCAGATATGGTCCATGTTTGAGCCTTGCCAGACTTCAGTCATGTACCGTAACTATTAGCATTGTGTGAGCTAGAGATATTTGCTATGGGGATTGGATTTTTGGAAGATAGGTGTTGCTTATAAAATGGAATAAGATTAAGGAATGGATGAAGGTAGAATTAAAAGGAGACACGCCCTGATAACCCCACCCTAAGGGCATTCCATGTGACCAGAAGTGAAGAAAAGTAGTTTTGAGGGGGCAGGGAAGGTTAGGATATTTGATTAAAGATTCTGAGGGCAAATTAATTTTTACAAGTTAATAAAGTGCACAGATACATTTTTTAAAAACAAGCTCTACTATATATAAAAAATAATAAGAGTAAGTTTTAATATCATTCCGACTTTAAAATAAATATGAAATAAATTTCAAATAAATATCCTCTCTTGAGGCCTCATGGGACAGTGAAGTGCCACTTAAATGCAAACTTCAGAATCTCACTGTTAGTAGTAGATCATCTGGGTAGTTTTTGCCTACTCTTTTATGAAATCTATGATTTTGAACATAGCAAAAGTCAACCCACACACCGAATCCCTGAAGCCCACAGAATCATTTGCCACTATACCTGCCATAATGATGTAACCAGCAGAAAGATTCACTGAAAAATACTTTTTTAAAGGAACAGTTGTCGCAAAAAAATGAAAACTGTCAACGTTTACTCAACCTCCACTTGTTCCAAACCTGTTTGAGTTTCTCTCTTGATTTGAACATGAAAAGAAGGTACTCTGTAGAATGTTGGAAGCCGGTAGCCTTTGACTTCCATTGTAAATACAGTCACACGTGAAATTATTCATACCCCTGGCAAATTCTGACAGAAATTTTTGTTCAGACATTGAACATCGTCTTATTTTCTTTTGGGAGAAGCGTCATTTTCAGTAAAAATATAAACTTACTGGTCGAATAAAAGTAACTTTAGTTCAGAAATTACAAAGCTTGACAGTATATATACTGTATATTTTTTCAAGCGTGCGTGCGTGTGTGTGTGTACTTGCGTATGTGGTTTATATGGACCCAAAATTGCATAATGACATGGGTATAACCTAGCTGTACTCTATTAGGGTGGTTAATGAGGACAAGGATTATGTCCTTGTAATTCAAACACTTTTAAATCATACTTATGATCAGGGTTATTTTGACATTCAACATTCTCTGATGGTTGAGTTTAGAGGTAGGATTAGTGTAAGGCCATATAATCAGCGTTTGCTCGAGTTTAAAACTATGGTGAGTCCTTTATAAGCCATATATAGAAGTATTGTGTGTGTGTGAATGTGTACTTGTTTTCTACTGTATAAAACATAATATATTTATGGATAGTCCTCATAAACCAGAAGTATATGTGTGTGTATGTGTACTTGTTTTTATTTCCCGGTGGGGACGTGTGTGTGTGTGTAATGTGTGTACATATGTACAGTACTGTATAAGTCCAAGACAAATGAGACAGAAGGAGAAAAACAGATGAATATACAAGACGTGGGAGAATGAACAAGGTAGACAACAACTTGGAAAGGAAAAAGAACCACCTACAAGAAACACTGCGACTGGGAGAAACGAGTAACAAGTAGCTGAGTATGAAAAAAGAAGATCCAAGGAAGAGCGAATGAACAGAATGATGTACCTGCCATAAGGAACAGGAGTCCAGACACATGCTGAGTGAGGCTCTCCTCCCAGAAAAATCCAACCGCGGCCACGATGCTTCCACACAGCATTACGGCTGCTGCCATGCCCAAAAACCCTGCCGTGATGCGCCGCAGATCTGAAACACACACACACATATCGCCCACTTAGCCAACTCACACCTTATCTTTAGGAACTTTCACTGAAATGTGAGGATTTCAAGGGATAGTTCACCCAAAAATGAACATTTCGTTATCATCTGGTGATTCCAAAGCTTTATGAGGCTCTATTCTCCATATTTTGCCATGAACTCCAAATGAAACATTTTGATGCAAAGGTGTATTTTTAATATCATTTTTATTCAAATTTCTTTTATTGTTTAGATTTTGTGAACATTTCTATTTAGTGGTTATATATTTCATTCACTTAATAAAATCTTGTGCAAACATAATAATAATTCAATTCATCTTTATTTCTATAGCACTTTTACAATGTAAATGGTGTCAAAGCAGCTTAGCATAGAAGTTCTAGTAAATTGAAACTGTGTCAGTCCAGTTTTCAGAGTTGACGTTCAGTTTAGTTCAGTTCAGTGTGGTTTAATTTCACTGCTGAAAGTCTAAACATTGAAGAGCAAATCCATTGATGCGCAGCTCCACAGGTCCCAAACCAAGCAAGCCAGTGGCAAAGAACAAACTCCACCAGTTGATGAAAATGAAGGACTTAAAAACCTTGAGAGAAACCAGGGTCAGTTGGGCACGACCATTTCTCCTCTGGCTCTGACCAAACTTCTTGTGCAGAGCTGCAGTTAAGGCGCCAGAGGCTGGAGAACGCTGGACGTCCATCGTGGAGAAGCTGCAGGTGTGAGTAGTTCACAGTGGGTGTTCAGGCGAGCCCGTGGGATCAAATTGAACACTCATTTGTCACTGGGGTCTCATGTTGTCCACTCCTCCATGACTGCAACAGCATGTGTTCAGGATACGGCTTTGTCCAGGATTATGGAGACCTTTAGAGATTCTCTATAATCTCTTCATATGTGTTGTGCTTGAGGTCCTCGATGATTGCTATCATCTCTTGCAAGTCTTGAATCACATTACTGGTACTACACAATCTCTAGCTTTCTTAAATATACTAAAATTAGATTTTTTTTTCATTTGAAAATGAATGTACTGCTCAGTAAACACTTTTTTTGACATTTTATATGTATAAGTTTAATTTCAAATACAACAGGTGGTAAAATGTATGTATTTGGGCTAAACAGAGTTGAATTAGCTTTAGCTGCTTTTGTCCATTTCAACTGCAAATTGTAGTTAAACAAAAATATGTGTTCAGAAATTTAAAAAAAAAATATGGTGGAAATGACAAAAGAAATTATGGAAAGCAGTTTTGAACAGGGTTAATTCTTCCTCAATCTGTGCACATCACAGGCTCATATATTGCAAGGTGGTGCATAGAGCTCATTGGTCCGAGAGCAGGCTAGCTCGCATCAACCTGTCTATTGACCCTGAGTGCGACAGGTGTCGTTCTGGTTCAGCTACTTTAATCCATATGTTTTGGTCCTGTTCCTCCCTGCTCTCTTTTTGGAGGCAAATTTTCCTCTCGTTGTCTGCTATTACTGTTGATATTCCACCTTGTCGATTTACTAGTTTATTTGGGGTTCTCCCACCCGGCCACACTTTACCCTCTCATTTCTTAACCCTTCTGGCTAGGCAATTCATTCTTCTGAACTGGATGGGCCCTTACCCTCCTTCTCACACTTGTTGGATAAGAAATGTTTTCTTTTTTATGAACCTGTAGAAAATTAGGTACTCTCTTCACTGACCTAGCAGCACTATTTTCATTAAACTGTGCGAACCCGTTTGCAAACATGTCCGAACTCTTCAGCTTGACCCTACTCCTTCTGATTGAGTCCTCACCCCCTACTCATAACTTAGTAATGAATACTATAGATCTTGTGAGCACATTGTAGACCTGTATTTTCTGTATATAAGATTGCACTAGTGTTTATTAGGTGTTTTATAATTGTTATTTTTAATTATTCAATTTGGGTTTTTTTTTTTGCTCAAAATACTTTTGAGTGTATTTGCTTATTGTTCCATGTTTATGTTGTCCTTTTTGTATATTTTTGTGATGTGTTTTACAATGTTCAAATAAAACATAAAAAAAGAAATTACTCAGTTCATGGGTAAAGCATTTTATATGCTATATTAAGTCCTCAACTATTTCTTTACTGGTCTTGGATCACATCAATGGCTGATTATTATCAATGGATTATCAATGGAGTATTATTATCAAAAATAACTGAATGAAGATTAACTCTAAAACCATACAAATATAAATTAAAATAAGGTCATTAAAAAAACAGATAAATCTAAGATATATTGCTAAACTTTGCTAATGTACTCTTTAACAAACATTAACATTATTTTTGCTCAATATTCATTTATTATTGTTAGTAGTTTCATTAAATTGTAGTAATTTCATGTCAGTTTGCGAAAGTGTTTTTTGACCTATAGTTTTTCACCAATAACCTTCATTTTAGTTTTACTTAAAGAAAATAATCTTGTTTTGAAGAATTTTGGCAGCCAGTACCTATTAACATTCATAGCAGGACAAAAAGACAGCCAGTCAAAGATTGCCGATTTCCAACATTCTTCAAAATATCTTCTTTTGTGTTTAACAGAACAAAGAAACTGAAACAGATCTGAAGATGAGGATGGTGAGTAACGATGAAAGCACTTTTTTCACATATGACTTCATGTAAAGTATATCACGTTATGGGATCTGATTGAGATGCAAGCATGGAGGAAGAAGAGCTTAATTAGGAGGTCTTTTAACGAGGGCTGTAATTAAGGCTTGCAGGCTCCCTCATGACTTGCTAAGCTACAACATCTAGAGCTAATAAGATTTCTTCCAACAGAAAATGACATTTGACCAAGTTTGTGTACGCTAAACAGCACCACGGGGCACATAATCATATTATGGAGATGTAAGAAAAGGTTGTGATTACATATTCATGACGGGACATGCAATAACAGCATTAGCGCACAATAGATGAGCTGAGATATTATCATTGCGGGACTGACAATGGAAATCAGTGGTTGTCTAGCTTAAACTGAAAACTGTGAATTGGACGTATTGTTGGGTTCTAGCTTTATTTTGTGGTAGCCAGTAACTGTGTATAGTGATATATCTTTAATAGTTGTGAACCCTTATTTTTTGCTATGTTATTCCTAATTATTATTTGTTTATTTATAAGCTATTTATTTTATTAGCTTAATTCTGGTAAAAAAAAAAATTTCTACGCAATTTTTATAAATAAAAAATACTAATAAAAACATTGTCATTTAGAGCTTCTTTTTTTTTTTTTTAGAAAATGACAGTAGGTCAGAATATTTTTTTATTTGTTGTAATTGAAAATCAGGGTTATACCAACAACGATTGCTGTCTTAACTCTACTAGTGTTACATTGGTTGTTAAATTGCCTCATAATGTATATAAATGTCTTAAAACTAGGTAATTTTCTCATTGTTTTATGTAAACGAAGCTCTTTTTTCATTTGCAAGCAATTTATATTATTTGATTTGAACTAGTTATGCTCAAACTAATTCATTAACTAATATACTTGGACTAATTTACCCTGAGAATAATATAAAAACTAGATTTATTTAGGTTCAGTAATTACTTGGACTAAAATACCTTGAGAATAATGTAAAAACTATATATATACTGTATATATATATGCTCAACTAATACACGTGGACTAAAATACCTTGAGAATTATGTAAAAACTAGATAAATTTATGCTCAACTAATACACTTGGACTAAAATACATTGAGAATAATGCAAAAATTGGATATATTTATGTTCAACTAATATACTTTGTCTAAAATACATTGAAAATAAGGTCAAAACTGGATATATTTATGTTTAACTAACATACTTGGACTAAAATACCCTGAGAATAGTATGAAAATTAGATATATTTACGCTCAAGTACTAAACTTGGACCAAATACCTTGAGAATAGTGTAAAAACAGGATATATTTATGTTCATCTATTTACTTGGACTAAAATACATTGAAGATCATCTAAAAACTAGATATATTGTGCTCAACTAATATACTTGGACTTAAATGCCCTGAGAATAATGTAAAAACTGGATATATTTACACTCAACTGATATACTTATTATCATGTTTTAGTCTGTACTAATCAGTCGGACTGGAAAAAAGAAACATTTATAGTACTAAAGAATGCCTGAAGTTAGTAGGGTTCTAACACTGCAAAAAAGCCTTTCTTACTTAAAGTTGTTGTCTTGTTTCTTGTATAAATATCTAACAACTCTTAAATAAAAAAAGCATTTTATTGAAAAGTATAATTTTTGTTTAAATTTCAAGAATACGTCAAAATTAAGTGAGTTTTTCCTAAAACAGGAAGTATAATTTGAATATTTACCTTGCGTTAAGTAAAAACACACACTTAGTTTTGGCTTTCTTTATGAAAACAAAACAATATTTTTTCTTGTCTTGAAAATGTTTATTCATTCATTTTCCTTCGGCTTAGTCCCTTCATTCATCAGGGGTCGCCACAATGTAATGAACCGCCAACTTATCCAGTATATGTTTTACACAATGGATGCACAGCTGCAACTCAGTACTGGGAAACATCCATACACACTTATTCACACATACACTACGGCCAATTTAGTCTATTCATCCAAAGGAAACCCATGCAAACACATAACACTACACACACAAATGCCAACTGACCAAACAGGGACTCGAACCAGCAACTTTCTTGCTGTGAGGCGACAGTGCTAACCACTGAGTCACTGTGTCGCCCAAATGCTTATTTATTTAAATAATTTATTGATAGTTGGCCAAGAAAGAAGATAAAATCTCAGTTTTTTGCAGTGAATCAAGCCTATTAAATTCAGTTTGTCAAATTTTGTCACCTTTTCCTTCTTACTAAGTCACACTGTAAACCCCTACAGGTTGATTGAGCTTAAAAACATAGTTTTAAGCGTGTTACCCTAAAAAGCTAATATTGTCTTGTTGAACAACAAAACATACAGTAAATAAAGATAAATGCACCTTCAAAGATTTTAAAAGCATTTCATGAAAACAGTTGACTGAACTAAAAGCTTTCAATGCAATACAATTAAAATGTTATGTACATTCATTCATTTTCCTTAGGCTTAGTCCTTTATTTATCAGTGGTTGCCACAGCAGAATGAACCGCCAACTATTGTACAGTCACAACCTAATACTGGGAAACACCTATACACTCTCACATTCACACATGCAATTTAGTTTACTCAATTCACTTACAGTGCATATGTTTGGACTTGTGGGGGAAATCAGAGCACCCGAAGGAAACCCATGCCAGCACAGGGAGAAAACAAGAGGAGAACATGCAAACTCCACACAGAAATGCCAGCTGACCCAGCCGGGACTTAATCCAGTGACCTTCTTGCTGTGAGGCGACAGTGCTAACCACTGAGCCACCATGTCGCCTTGCATTTATCAAACTGACTAAAAACTTGGTTAACCTTTGAATGGTTTAAAAAATGAAGTTGAAACCTGACATATTAAGATACGTTAAAGAAACATCAAATATTTGTTGTCATAATTCTTTTGTCATTACATTGTTTTACAGTGTGGTGTTTACAGTGTGGTGTATAACTGAACAAATGGGGACATAAGTAAAAACACTCAAAAGGGGTAGTTCATTTCTCCAAAAAATTTAAATTTACTAACTAATTATTATTTTGCACAAAAGAAGATATTTTGAAGAAAGCTGAAAACCTGTAACCATTGACATCCATAGTAGAAAAAAAACAGATACTATGGAAGTCAATGGTTACAGGTTTCCAACTTTCTTTGAAATATTTTCTTTTGTGTTCAACAGAAGAAAGAAAAATCATAAAGGTTGGGAACCGCTTGAGGGAGAGCAAATAGTGAGTAAATTATCATACATTTAATATACAATGGCAGAATTTAAATTTTGGGGTGAACTATCCTTTTAAGAAACTGAACAGCATTGATCAAAATCAAACTAAGCAGAAAAGCATCAGCCTTTAGGTTTTATTTTACAAGGATTTTCTCTGCAGTTTTCTCCATGCAAAGCACACTTAACTCCAGCTTGCGAGCTCTGCTTAATATTCATGGCATATCAAGAGCTGCACAAGGCGGTGGTGAGGAAGCTTTGGGCAACTTACGTAAGAGGTGCCACTCGTCCTGCTGTATGGTCCTCGTCAGGTTGAGAGGGATGTTCCTGAGTCTGATGGGTTGGGAGAAATGGTACTTGACAGATGTGCATCGCTCTGCAATACCTGCGCACAGATCGCACACTCATTTAGGACAAACTCCCACCTTCAAACCAAGCTGAAATCCCACACAAATAAAACGACACGCTGCTGGTATATTGCATTTTCTGTTTGCACTAATCTTCTCGACTCTTTGTTTTATTGTTTGTCTTTTCCCTAGACGTTTCAAGCTTTGCTGAAACTCCAGCCTCCCCGACAGAGTGACCTTCTGTCATTATTTCCGCCTGAGTTCACACCAACACCACACAGATTTGGCCGGCGTTGGGAGCTAATTCTGCGAGCTGGAATGAGACTGCAGTGATCATGCAGCAAGCATTAGGTAATTAATAATATTTTAAAACACGTTCTGGACTCATAGTGTGGGGGGATACGGTCAATTCATTCAGTCAGAGACATGAATTCAAGCTGGCTGGATCCGAAATGTGTGGGTGAAATTAAAATGTACCCTTTCTGAACTGACTGCATTTAGTTCTGGGCAAGCCAGTGAGAAAGCCTGAAAATAAAAAAGCTAGACGTGTACTTCTTCTGTAGCTGCTGATAATGAATTCAACTCCATAGTTTTTTTTTTTTTGTTTTTGTTTTTTACGGTGATGTTAAATTAGAGCCATGCACTTTAATAAATATTAGTATTCCCAACCTGTTGACCAGTTTCCCAGGATTTTTTAATATTTTATAGGGATCTCTGCACTTCTAGTACAAACATTGTAAGCTTTCATATATACAGTTGAAGTCAGAATTATTAGCCTGCCCTTGAATTGTTTTTTCTTATTTAAATATTTCCGAAATGGTGTTTAACAGAGGAAGAAAATGTTCACAGTATTTCCGATAATATATTCTCTTCTTGAGGAATTTTATTTGTTTTATTTCAGCTAAAATAAAAGCAGTTTTAATTTTTTTTAAAACATTTTACGGTCAAAATTATTAGCCCCTTTAAGCTATATATTTTTATATTTTATATTATATATAATTATATTTACACAGTTGAAGTCAGAATTATTAGCCTGAATTATGTATAACAGAGCAAAGAAATTTTCACTGTATGTCTGATAATATATTTTTCTTCAGGAGAAAGTCTTATTTGTTTTATTTCGGCTAGAATAAAAGAAGTTTTGAATTTTTAAAAAAACATTTTAAGGTCAAAATTATTAGCCCCTCAAAGCTATATTTTCTTTTAATAGTCTAAAGCACAACCCATCGTTATACAATAACTTGCCTAACCCTAACCTAGTTAACCTAACTAACCCAGTTAAGCCTTTAAATGTCACTTTAAGCTGTATAGAAGTGTCTTGAAAAATATCTAGTCAAATATTATTTACTGTCATCAAGAGCAAATAAATAAGGATGTGCAGAAAAGATCTTCTCTCCGTTAAACAGAAATTGGGGTATATAAATGAGTCCACCTTATTTTGAAAATGAATATTTTTATCCCCTTTTTTTATATATATAATTTAAATATATAATTATATAATAATTTCTGTACATTTGAACAAAACAGATTTTTTAAAGTTGTATTTTAGTCACCGAACAGTTTAGAAATAAAAAGATAATACACTTAAATTCATGTGAAATATTGCAAAGACAAATGACAAACTACAAATAAAAAAAAAATAGTTTCCATTGATTTTTGCTTTTGAATTTTTTTATTGAATATTTTTCTCTAACATATTAAAACAAATTACTTTGGGCTATTATTATTTATACCGTTAACTTGATTTATTTTGTTAGATAAGCTCCTGATTTGGTGTCTAAACCTGGGCTGCCCCAAACTTTTTCTTACCAAGGGCCAAAACCCAAACTTTATTGAGAGCTGTGGGCCGAAAGTAATTATACTGTAGCAAACTCCATTAAATTAAAGTTGCAATTGGTAATTTCCTAATTTTTTCCCTAATTTTTTAAAATAAAAATGACTTCAACCGTATTTACTAATGTATTCTAATTTTTTGTTTATTTTTTCATTATTTGAACAAACTTATTACAATAAACCATTTTTTCCAAATCCATTTATAAAACAATGGAGTTCAATGCTAAATCTGCTAGTCATGCCTTTGCCTTGATTTGTCCCACTTTGTATCGGATATCAATTGGGCAGTGAAAATGGTTGATTTTTTAAAGAAAACAGACCTTAAATGTGCCAATTTTGTAACAGCATACAGTTCAGAAGCGTTTGGCCCAGGTTACTGCCAAATTAAATGTCCTTCAGCATACTTCTGCATTTACCCCATTTTAGGGTCAATATTTTTTTATTGCCTACAGAACAAACAATCCAGCTTTCCTACTTACCATATTTAAGTCTTAAAATTGCATTTTAAGCTGAACACTAGTATCTTGCAAAATAACTAGTAATATTATTATATAGTGCCATGATGGCAAAGACAAAAGAAAGTAGTTATTAAAACTATTATGTTTTAAAAATTAAGTTTTTCTTTCAGGAAAAGGACACGTTAACATTTTTATTCAACTTTTTTTTTTTACTTTAACACTGATATTAAACAAAAAAGCATCTTAAGAACAGATTTTTATATTCAACAGTACTTTTAAAGATTAAATAAAATGTAAATAAATATAAAATAAAATATTAAATCAAAATATTGGAATAATTTGAGCATGTTTAAAAGAAAATACTATGTCATTCTTTATACTTGTTTGGTAATTTATAAATTCAGATTTACTTAAAACCTTAATGTATAGGTTCAATCCTCAAGGAATTAATAACCTGGCCAAATGTGTAAATGCAGCAAATGTTTGGATAAAATCTACCACCAAAAGCATCAACGTTTGTACACATTTTGGTTATTTTTGTCATTCTATGAAATATAAATGATTTTATTCTATGATATGATGCTCATACTAATACAGTGATCATCAAGTCTGAAATGAAGAAGAGAAATAAAGGGGGCTGTGCTCATCTGGTTGGCACGGTGGACTCACCCTGAGCTCCTCTATTGTGATCTGATGAGACACACTTTCAAGAGCCCCTCTTTCTTTGATGGGCTGATTTGGGGACTCACACTAATAGACTATGTCACAAATCAAAGCCTGGTGCTGAAGGTCAAGTGATCGGAGTGACTTTGGACTTGATTTGAATGCAGGGTGGCACACAGCTTCCGCTTTTAATCCTGACATGATCAGATCTCTGTAATCTTTATTGACTCGGAATCATCACTCATTTCCTCTGTCTTTTTTCACCTTGAGACTTTCATCTCTCTCAAAGGAAACTTTTGCCAAACAGCTGGCTTGGTTGGCAATTTAATAAAGTTTTGTTCTGTTGAAATCTATCATGCGTGAAATTGATTTGCAGAAAGTGCCTTTGCAGTAAAATAAACAGGTCAAGAGAGAAAGAGAGAGAGAGAGAGAGAGAGAACAAAAATGGCAGGAGCTAGTGTCAGCAAAAAGTCCATTAAGCTTAAGTTTGGATAAGAGTCAGAATAAAAAGGATTAAATCGATATTTCTTCCAGGAAACAAGTGCATAATTATCCATACTCACATATGTTTTTGATGCAACACATCATACACACCACCATCATCATCATCATCATCGTCATAATTATCTGTCACAAATGCAAATCTTGTACACTTAACAGCGTCTGTCAAACAACAGGGACTCGCATTCAAAATGTAGGTGATGAAAGACTTTAGGTCTGAATTTGTCAAAATGGCCCTATATGTTGTATTTACTCAAAATAGTCATCTCATAAGCATTGTTTATTTAAAATTCTGACTACCCTAATAGCGCTTTATGTTATTAAGTCAACAAAAAGAGTCGACTCATTAGAGTAATTTACTGAGGAATTGGATAAATTGTGTGTTGAAAGCAGCACAGTTTCTATATAAAAAAATAGCCAGGTACGACATACAACCAAATATATAGTCAGAATTTACTTTTGAACAAGTTGTATGCATGCTTTTAATTAAGTTTAAATCCACTTAAATCTTTTAAATTGTGTTTGTTTATTTATTTATTTTTGTTTTGTTTTTACTAACTAGTTAATTAGAATCATTTGCTCGAAAATCTATTGCTCACTGTGGGTTTTCCTTCTTGAAAAGAGTCAACTGAATCAACTAAAAAGAATTGACTCATGAGAGTCATTTTGGCCACACGTGTGTCTGAATAAGCCAATGAAACATGGTTATTTAGTTTGAGAATGAATGCTAGTTTGAGAATTTTGAGTTTGAGAATCATGTATTATTCGGTCTGATTAAGCTAACATTTTGGTGCACTGTGCTGAGGCGAAGCACTAAATGTTGGGCTCCGTTCACACAAACCAGGTTTGGGTCCTTTGCAACACACAAAAAAACACCATATTTTATGTAGTCTATTTGTCGTAATAGCAAAGTAAATACTATATTTTAAACGTGGCCATGGTTATTTTCATTATGTTAATTAACCCTTTAACTACCTCAAAGAAAAAAATGTTTGAAGTGCATTTCCTTAACTCCTAATGTTGATAGTTAACACACTCATTGAGTTTTTTTTTCAACACATCCCATTCATTCATTCATTTTCTTGTCGGCTTAGTCCCTTTTTTAATCCGGGGTCGCCACAGCGGAATGAACCGCCAACTTATCCAGAAAGTTTTTACGCAGCGGATGCCCCTCCAGCCGCAACCCACCCCTGGGGAAACACATCCCATTATTTCTAAAATATCAGCCTCTACCAAATGGTAAATATGTCGGTGTATGGTAAAAGTAACGGAATTGCAAATACCGTATGAAAATATAAAGTGTAAGACCAATTTATTTTTAAAATATTCAAAATAAAACGTTTTGAATGCTTAATCAGTGTTATTTGTTGAAGTATGCCATCAAATATTTCAGATTCTCATTTAACATGTTTTCTTGTTTGTTTGTTTTTCCAATATAACTAAAATCAAGTGTAGTAGTGCAACAGGATTATGTTTGATTTGATTTGTTTTGTAAACCAACTGTGCTGTGTGTAATAGTCATTCTTTAAATTGCTTTAACAGTCATTATTTAAAACAGTAAAAATATGTTCAGCCATTTGGTAGAGCGGCATGTCCACATTATTGTTATAGATTATCAGTAGCAGGGTATCATTATGCTGACCCCCACTCTCTCTCTCCAAGGCCCCTGTTACTCAGATCCACCCCCTGCCCAACACCCTTAGGTTAAAACCTGTCTGTCTTATTTATTGATTGGTTAATAGCTACTGTAGGTGTGTTGATTCATCAAAAACAACTATTACATAGCCAGCTCATTACAATCATTCGTTTGGAACTAATGGAACTACTCTGGTTGCGCTGAATGCTGTTAGAGTCGACTCATGAGAATTATTTGTTTGACATTCGGACGTGCGTTAGATTTAGCGCAGGGAACTCTTTTGTGTTAGGGTAGTAGAAAAAAGAAAAGTCTCGAACTTCGTTTAGTTCTGTTGGCTGGCACTAAACCGCTTCACACCCAACTAAGCACACATTTTTTCCTCTGTATATTTTGCATCGAAATGAACTTTCCACCTAAGCCTTACCCTTCAAAATGAGTTTGTCAATATCCCTGTCCATTCCCTGGAAGTAGCATTTCCTCCATAGTCCCGAATAGGTGGAGAAAAGCGGGCGCCCGCACTCCGTCTCCAAAATGCCCATGCCCAAAATCGCCCTCCAGTTCTCCAACAGTTCCTCCTCTCGACTCCCAACGTGAATGGGCTTCATGAGCGCCAGGTTGCGCTTCGCGTTCCCGCTGTCCACCAGAGGCAGGTGATAGATGGGCATCTCCCTGTTCTTCTGGTCGTTGGACTCGGACCCGTACTGGTCGCAGTTCTCCTTGTGTCTCCTGGTGTCGGTCTCGTACCAGTGATCGGTGAAGATCGCAGTGACCAGCAGCATGAGCGCGAGCAGGCTCATGGACAAGCTGATCGCCGTTACAAGAGCCCGTTTCTCCATGTCTCCAACATCCGCGCAACTCACTCAGTCATCTCTCACGCGAAGCGGACTTTCCTCGCCGTTTCCTGGGACAATGCACCGCTTTGGGCAGCGATCTGTCATTACAGGTGGATGAGCGGAGTGTGTCTGCGCGTGCGGTGCCGTGGGCATCTATATGGGGATGCGCGATGGCCGTGCGTGCGTGTTTACCTGCACTGCCTTCGGCGTCTGTGCATCTTCTTTTAGCCGCAGTGTAGCCGCTTGTCCGTCTTTAACTCCTTCCCGAGGAGGTTTTGCATCCACGCAGAACAAAATTTCTCCGTACAACTGAACGCGCGTGTGGGAATGTCAAGGTTGTCGCGCGCCTACTGTGCCAACAATAGCTAAGGGTGTGTCAAGGAGACAGGCGAGCGCGCGACTGAACTGTTATGATGGTGATGATGATGATGATGGTGGTGGTGACTACAGTTTGGCTAGCCAAGCATAAATGCAGCAGAAGACCGTTATGCAAAGAGGGGGAAACAATTTATGTACTTAGACTTTGAAATATACTAAATAAAGGTTTAGCAGTATATTATCGTGCACTAAGGTAATTATTGGGCAGTGTCTGATTTAATAAATATCTATTAATATCTAACTTAGATTCATGTATTTTCTAAAATTTAAAGTTTGATTATTTTTATATGTTGAATTCACGTCAATGTTCACACATGAATTATTAAATTTTATTTCACAGATATGATGTTTGGGTATTTTTTTCTTCTCACAGATATGGTATTTGGGTAATTAAAAAAAAATTGTAAGAAAATAGCAAGGTCAAAATATGATTTATATAGGCTCTATACATTTTATTAAATGAAATGTACAAAAAATTTAACAACTATTTCGAGACTAATCAACAATTGAGTACAAATAACTTCGATATAAACAAAACTGTTATTTCATATTTGCATATGAACATGTTTTAAAGGGCACCTATTTTACCCCTTTTTCAAAGTCTTTTGTGTCTTCAGAATGTCTCTGTAAAGTTTCAGCTCAAAGTACTCATCAAATTATTCATTATACCTTTAAGAATATTGGAGTTTTCTGCTCTGAACACAATGTTGCTGTTTTTGTTGCCTGTGCCTTTAATGCTGGTTCTCCCCGCCCAACCTTCCCACGTGACTGTCAGAGTGTGCCTCAGTCTCCGGCTGTGTCAGATAACCAGATAACCAGTTATTAATTATTTGATGTATCTGTTGTGGAGTTTATTCAAGCCTTTCTGCAATGATGAGTCAGACACAATGTCATTACAATGTTCATGCACAAACACACACACACACACACACACCGAACACACAGCGCACGTTTAACTTTGCATGGGAGGGAGTTGGATCCTATTTTAATGTAAGAAATTTTTTAAAAAGAGACTTATTGTCCATCTATCTATCTATCTATCTATCTATCTATCTATCTATCTATCTATCTATCTATCTATCTATCTATCTATCTATCTATCTATCTATCTATCTATCTATCTATCTATCTATCTATCTATCTATCTATCTATCTATCTATCTATCTATCTATCTATCTATCTATATCTGTCTGTCTATCACAAACAGACATACAAAAATAGAGGAGCAGAAAATTGCAAAAATGATGGTGATTGCATAAAACCCTGAACAATAGATAGGAAAACAGGTCTAGAATAGCCTGGAAATAATACGTCTCTGAACAGGCCAATTGTATGTGCGTTGGTTGCTTGATAACTGCCGTCATGCTGAGACCTTGATCTGTGCCAGTGCATGCTTTAATAATCAGTCAATAAATTGCATCCTGGATGTGTGCCTGGCATTTGAGAAATAAATTAGACTGAATAGTCCTGGCTCATAAAACCTTCATAACAACCACATGGTGTAAGTACAAATGTGTTCAGAAGCTCACTATTGGCACACACTCCTCTGTGATTCGGAAATAAATAGCGCTGAATCACAATCCTGTCTGAGCTGAAGGAGAAGAAGATGGAGGAAGAAATATGAGACTGTTTTGTAAGTCACAAACCACATGGAGAATCCTGACAACTGTTAATTTGTCAACTGTCAGTGATTTGTCACATATTTGGACAAATATATGTGAGAAAACAGAGCTGAAACTGCCTTATGTGACTCCTAAAATGAAAAAAAAAAAATGCAAAGAGGATTCATTTAAAAAACCACAAAGCAGCACTGTTAGAATGACAGACAAGACAATAATTGACTCTACAAAATATTAAAATGTGAAACAGCAACAACATGTGCTCTAACAGTGAGGGAACATTTCTGTACAAAAACTGAACCACAATTACCCTGAAAACAGCCTTAAAAAACAATTCAACAAAACCTTAAGCCCAGGTCTATAATATCTGTTACTGTTATCCCCTACTGCGTCATGGTGGTGCAGTGGGCAGCATGATTGCCCCACAGCAAGAAGGTCACTGGTTCGAGCCCCAGCTGGGTCAGTTGGCATTTCTGTGTGCAGTTTGCATGCTCTCCCCGTGTTCGCGTGGGTTTCCTCCAGGTGCTCTGGTTTCCCCCACAAGACATGCACTAAAGGTGAACTGAATAATCTAAATTGGCCATAGTGTTAGAGTTAGAGCGTGTATGAGTGTCTCCCAGTGTTGGGTTACAGCTGGAAGGGCATCCTGCGAAATAACATAAAGGCATTTCCTTCTGCTGTGACGACCCCTGAATAATAAAGGGACTAAGCTGAAAAGAAAATGAATAAATGAATTAATCCCCTATAAATCTATTCTATCTATGCCAAATTCTTGGTTTCAGTTTTATTTTATTATGCAAAACTTCTTGAAGTCATCTTATGAGTTCAACTTCTTGCAGAAAAGTTAATCAGTGTTAAAGCTAAACTTCTGCTTTTTTAATGTTACATGAAATACTGCTTCATGTTATTTGTTTATTTAAATTTAAATACAAGAAAAAAAAATTTTTTTTTTTGAGTAGCAAATCAGCATATAAAGATTTTCAAAGGATCGTGTGACTGAAGTAATCATGCAAAATAAATAAATGAATAAATAAATAAATAAATAAAGCTTTGGAATTCAATTCCTCCTAATCTTTATGATTTAGACTCTTTCACAATTTAAATTCAAACTCAAAACACATCTGTTTAGAATAACTTATTCTCTTTAACCCAACTACATTTTTAAAGTTTGTATTGTATTCTGTAGTTTTTTTTATTGTTTCTGATTGTTCTAGCTGTCCTGTACGGTGACCTTGAGTGTCATGAAAGCCGCTTTTAAATAAAATGCATTATTATTATTATTATTATTATTATTATTATTAAAAAGAAAAAAAGGTATACAGTTAAAGTCAGAATTATTAGCCCCCACTCTGAATTTTTCTTTCTTTCTTAAATATTTCCCAAATGATGTTTAACAAAGCAAGGAAATTTTCACAGTATGTCTGATAATATTTTTTTCTGGAGAAATCTTATTTGTTTTATTTTCGGCTAAACATGGCAGAAATTATTAGCCGCTTTAAGCTATATTTTTCGATAGTCTACTGAACACACCATAATTTTACAATAACTTTCCTAATTGCCTAATATATATAATAATATGCCTAATATATATATATATATATATATATATATATATATATATATATATATATATATATATATATATATATATATATACATATATATATATATATATATATATATATACACACAGTTAAAGTCAGAATTATTATTCCCACTGTTTATTTTTTCCCACAATTTCTGTTTAATGGAGCAAAGATTTTTCAACACATTTCTAAACATAATAGTTTTAATAACTCATTTCTAATAACTGATTTATTTTATCTTTGCCATGATGACAGTAAATAATATTTGACTAGATATTTTTCAAGACACTTCTATACAGCTTACAGTGACATTTAAAGGCTTAACTAGGGTAATTAGGTTAACTAGACAGGTTAGGGTAATTAGGCTGGTTATTTTATTATGATGGTTTGTTTTGTTGACTATATCGAAAGAAAATACCCTTATTTGAAATACCATTAAAAGCTGCTTTTATTCTAGCCGCAATAAAACAAACAAGACTTTATTTAGAATAAAAAAATATTATCAGGCATACTGTGAAAATTCCCTTGCTCTGTTAAACATCATTTGGGAAATATTTAAAAAAGAAAACAAAAAATTGAAATTGGGGCTAATGATTCTGACATTCTATATATATTCTATATATATATTCTATATATATATTCTATATATATATATATATATATATATATATATATATATATATATATATATATATATATATATATATATATATATATATATATATATATATCCTCAGAAATTTTAATCGTTAAGTAAAAGCATTACAAACCACCAACTATTTCCATTAAAACCAATAAATGCCAATGGTTTCTATTGTATTCTGGGACAAATTTGGGATTTGTTATTTTACATGTCACCTAATTATTTTCTAACAGTTGTCCATATAGGGAACATGCATTTTCACATTTAAATTAATGCAATTCTCATTATAGCTATTAAAACCATTACAAAATATTTTTTTTCAGCAGCAACGGCATTTATGTAATATCCAAAACAGATTAATATTTAAGTTACATTTTTTATTTATTTATGCAAATTAGGATTTCATAAAATACTCTTTCAAGCATTAAATAATAATGCCATCTTTAGCAGTCAAATTTTGCATTCCCATTTTAATCTTACATATTTAACTCACCTTATTTAGTAAAATATTTTACATTAAATATTTAGTTTTTAATATTATTACTATCATCATCATCATCATTATTATCATGATGATCATCATTATTATTATTATTGTTATTATTATTATTATTATTATTATTATTATTGGAAGCAGCCAAAGACATCAATAGTAGGAACAAAACATGCTATGGAAGTCAGTGGCTCCAACGTTCTTCAGAATAACTTCCTTTGTGTTCAGCAGAAGACAGAAACTCAAACTGGTTTGTAAGAAGTGAAAATAATGATGTCAGAATCTTCATTTGTGGGTGAACTATCCCTTTAAAGCTAAAAAAAACTATCCATAACAAACAAAATATCAAACCATGTCACTGTCAACATATAGTCAAGCTTTAGTATAAGAAAACTAACACACTTTTGAGAACATTTCAGACAAGGTTAGTATATAAAATTGGCTAAACACAGGTTATCTGCTGTTTTATATGCGTGGTCATCTGACCCACCCATCCTCCTCCTCCTGCTCCTTCTTCATCCTCCCATTCCAAACATTCTCCACTCTACGAGCTCTGCGCATGCGCAGTGGAACTCACGGGAAGCCATGTTAAAGTTACAGACAAGTACTGAGACTGAGATTCCCTTCTGACGCCGTATGTTTGTTTTTTTGCTCTTTTCTCATTTCGTTCGCGTCAGGGACCCCAGCAAATCTAACACTGACTGTCAGAGGTAGGAGTCCCCACGATGAACTCTAGTTTCGATCTGTCTAGGCGAAATCCGCAAGAGGATTTCGAGCTTATCCAGAGGATAGGCAGCGGGACCTACGGGGATGTTTACAAGGTAAAAATGTGTTTTCTATAAACAGAGCCCGTCTTTTGGACAGTGCTGTCCACATTTAAAGGGCTGATTCCTTAGAATAACACCAGTGTAAGGTATATTGGAGTTTAAATGCTGTAGATATGCAGTCATAAATTGTACTTCTCTGAACTGGACAAGCTGGGACACTGATCACTTAAAGGTGCACTCAGTCATTTTTTTGCTAATTAAAAATTTTGCCACTCAGTTAAATGATTAGCAATGTGGAGGAATATATTTCAAATGATGCACATTCGTGTGATATAAATGCTAAAGAGCTATCAGTCTTTTAGTAAATGCTGTTTTATTCTACATGGAGCAGGTCCCTCATGGGCACCGCCATGTTGACATCACATGACCAAACCTGTCATGCCGTTTTTAGGCTACTGTAAATGCACATTAAACCAAATCAGTTTGATTCATTAATTATGTACAAAATGGTGTGGTGAATCCGATAATTATATCAATGTCTGTGGTGTGAAACAGAGGAAAACATAGACCAAAAGAAATAAAACTAAAGTTAAACAAACTGCTATTTACTGTGAAGGGACTAAACTTGGTAAACGTAATTCATGCATCCAGGCCAGTGGGTTGTCAGTTTGAAGATCTAAATCACTAATGGTCAAAACCGAATAACGCTGAGAATGACTAAATTCCTACTTCAATACTAAATACACACCCATACCTATAGGAAACGTGAACTGAGTATGTCTGATTGCATCATATTCATAAACTGATAGGCCTATAGTACTTATGACCTACTTCCTACGAGATTCAGAAATGCACTTTTATTGGACACTTTATCCAGAGGCCACAGGAGAAAATTACAGAAATAGTTTATTTTAGTTAAGATGATGCATTCGATCGCATGGCAGTTACAAAAAGGCGAGTGTAAAGGCTAAAGCAAGCACAGAACATTCCAATTTGTTTTTTAATGGGAAACCAAATAGGGTTGTCTTGATACTGGAATTGGATACCAATTGGTACTGAAATTTTAAAAACGTCCATATCCCGCTAACGTTTGAGCACTGTGGAACACGTTCTTATTTGCCATTGTGTTCATGTGATCAACAGAAATGACTGTGATTGGCCAAGTCAATCAAAGTCACGTCGATCAGCTGATTTGTCTATTAGCTGACATACGAGTGATCCGCTAATGAATCGCAGCTTTAAAATACTCCAGTGTCCCTTTATCTGTGGTCACATGCAATAAACAGCGGCGAGTTCGGTAAACTGATGACCTTCTCAGCCAATCACAGTCATTTCTGTTGATCATGTGAACACAATGGCAAATCAGAGCTGTTTAAGAACATGCTCCACATGGTTTAAATGTTCACGGGAAATGGAAACTTCAGTACTGATTGGTATCTAATTTGAGTATTGTGACAACTCCTAAACCAAATATTAATATTCTGGGAACTTTCTCTCTACCTCCGGCTCCTATATTTATTGGTAGCCAATTACAAATTTTCCCAAAGCAATGCAGCGCGGGTGTTTTTTTGTAATAACCTAAAGAAAACCTTGAAGAGAATGTTTTGGAAATGTTCTCCTAGAGGAAAAGTTTTATTATGTCAAGAAAACTTTATTGGCTAGCCAAAGAATAACATTCTATGAATGTTGTGGGAACCAAAAGTGTTAGCTGGCTAGTACATCCACATTTTGTTTGTACACAGTTTTAGTGCAGGATTTTTTTTGTTACCAAACCATCCTGAACTTTAACCCCACTTAAAGGGACACCCAATCCTAAAATGAAAGTTCTTTCATCATTATAGGCCATAATTTTTTTTCTTAAACTATTTTCATTCTTGAAAAAGAAAGCATAATGTTTGGATGGAAGATAGTCTTGTTCATCATTCCCCTTTTCCCCCCTAAACAACAACAGAAGTGAAAGTTTGTTTCAGGCTTTCATTCATTTTGAACAAATGATGACTAAATGACAAACTTTCAATTTAGGAAACATGACAGCAGCATCAAAAGACTGATTTGTCAATCTCTGTAAACATTATGTGGTTATATGAAACACTCATCGACAGCTATTCCCTGCACATTCATTCGCTTCTTCTTTTGCATCATTTCACGTCAACATATTGAATTTATTCCCAGTTTCTTGCACCTCAGAGCGAGCTCATCCAAATGACATTGTGTGGTTTTGCTGCAGTGTCACTCCCATGAGTTGTTGCAAAAATTGTGCAAGACGTGAGAAATATTTGAAGAAGGCCTTGTTATATCACTGCCTAAGTTTGTGATTGTGACTGAAACTAAGCAACAAGCACTTCTGAAAGATGAGTTTTTCATGACAGCTGGCCGGTTGATCGGTAGTGCTGTTGCCTTTAGAGTGGTTGACTTGGAAGATGTTTACAAGTGGTGTGAAATGTGCTGGATTATCTGCAGCTTTATTTGAATGAGGCTTAAGCAGCAGGTCGGTGTCACCCTGCAAGACTTTCACCTGTCATTCAAGGATTGCAGATGGCCGTTTGTGTTTTTTACATTTTATGAAACCTAATGATTTATGTTTAGTCTGGATTATTCAAAAGCAATAGCCTTCATTTGTCTGGAGAATAACTGCAGTTTATCTGACTGAGCGTCTTATAGGATTATGTAAAAGATAAGCAAAACTCTATAAGCTGAATGGATGGATTTTAGATAACAGACTATGCTGGCTACTGTATGGTTTAACAGCATTGAGTGCAGTTGCAGGTAGTATTTACAGTCATTGGGTGTCTTTATTTAATAAGCAACAGTAATTATGAATGAAACTGAATGTTGGTGTCATTGAGAAACTCACATTGAATGACCACTGTTCTGAGTTCTGGCGGGGGATGTGGCCTCCTCTGTGTCTGTTGTTGTTAATTGTAATAATTTTTTTTATGTATCATCAATCAGTCCTTCATGATTAGATGTTACCAGAGTTTGTGTGCCTTTTCAGGCCAATTGCAACAACTGTTTTTAGCAAATTTTGCTTGTTTTGATTAAGTAGGTTATGAAGACATGAGTATAAAGGTGTACTCCCACTAGGCTATCTGAACTATCTGAACTAGGCTATGCATGGGTGGTTTGACAATTTTGAGTGTTCCGAATCGCACCCAGGCACGGTTCAGTTGGCCAGCCCTGGCCCGGTTGGTGTGTGGTTCGGTTGGGCTTTGGCGCAGTATGCTTTTAGTGTGAGTGCCAAGTGCGTTTGAGCGCAAAACTGAAAAAGCGAGGTCACTTTTAAAGGCCTGTTTCAGATGGAATTATTATTCATTCTTACTTTTCAATGAACGTGAACTATCATTAGTTTATTAATCATGCAAACTCCTCACTGCACTTCAACTGCACCTTCAGCAAACCTCCCGAAATTGTAATTGCATCAAAAGTAGTGGATCTGATCAGCAAAATATTTGACTGTGTGTCACTGCATCCCAAATGACTTAAAAATACAAAACAATATAACTAAAGCAATCTTCATTGTACTGAGCAAGAGAGCTTCTCTTTCTAACTGAACAGTTGCATCATCTGTGACAAACGTGCTCGGGCTCGGAAAGTAAAGATGCAGTGAGAGTGCAGGCTGAGGGGGGACAATCCCGCCGTGGCACGGTTCAGGGCAACTGTGTCTAGTGCGAGTACACCATAAATGTCACTTTTTTACTTAAAATAATGGTAAAGAAAAAATTGAGTTAAATGAAAATGTTTTTTTCTTGATTTGTAACTACGCGTTTTTCTGGTTGATTTTTAATACTTTTTCTTAAGTTTGTTGACTCTAGAGGTCATAATGATTTAATCATGTCCAACCAGAGACCTTTGCTTATTTCTAAGGAGATATTTGCTCACTACAATACTAACTTCTTGCAGAAAATGGCCTCAAAAATGGAAAATGTGGACAAAATGCTACCCGAGCAGTGCTTGCATGTTTGTTTTTGTTAGCTCAACTGTCAGAAATGGAATGCACTGAATTAAGGGATATCAGTCAGGGGAAGGTACCTCAAGGAGATTTTAGATTCTGAAGGCAGAATTTTAAAGCTTTCAGAAGCAGCCATTGATACAATTGTTTAACTTTTTTGAATTTCCATCAATTAAATGTTAAAAAGAAAATTATATTTTAAATTTGTTGTTTGTTAGTTTGAATAAAATTTGCCATCACAAAACCAAATGCATTTACTTTATTTAGCCACTCTCACAAGGTTACAAACCTTTAAATTGTACTTTAAAAAAAAATATATATATATATATATTTTGACAAATAGAAAACAGTAGAGGTGTTAACCTACAACTATCTCACTGTTCGGTCCGGTTACGATTATTATGTCATTATTATTGACGATTGACCCTAGAATTCAGATTTCATGTGCAGGAAAATGCCAATGGAACTTCTGCAAGTAAACAAACTGGCAGACACAAAATGTCACTTTTTGGAGCTACGACTGCGCTGGCTGATTCTATCCCTGCTCATAGTAAACTATATAGCTTGTATACATGACTTTAAACAAACTTTACATTTCGAGAATGAAGTGCGGCTGTGGCTGGAAAACAATGTTTTAATGCACTGCAAGCGGCGTAGACGCATTGTCACTTCAGGAGGAGGCGTGAATTAATTTAGCTAAACTTAGACATGGTCATCTTCCGGAAATATTACGTTATCAACGATCCATCAGGTAATGTTTTTCCCCCTTTCTCTCTCTCTGTTGGCAAAGCGATGTCAACAAATATTTCTTCCCCACATTCCATAATGCACAGCGCATCAGCCAAAAAGCAGCTGGATTAGTCAAAAAAGGTGCAGTACTTTTTGCGGTTGGGTGTTTTAGTTCGGATCATATCAGAGTTTGTTTGAAAGCGTACCGAGACCCTCTCTTTAAGGAGCTCTCTGTATGCTTTTTTGGTCCGCTTTTGGTCCGCACTCGAGTACTATTGCTACATTCACACCTGCCCGAACGAACCAGACCAAGAGGGAAAATGAGCACTAGTGCGATTCAACCGAACTAAATAAGGCAGGTGTGAAAGCTCCCTTA